CTGTCATTCGACCCCCATTGTTGGCTTTAGGGCCCAGTGTGTTTCTAAAAAGTTAAAAAAATAGCTTGTCGCACTCACAGGACGGGTAACATAAATACATATCATTCCTTGGCGTAGCATAACGTACAACAATTTTCTCAAACCATCTGTTTCTATCTCTCTCACCTCTCTCTCAGTCTCTGTCTCTCTCTCTCTCTCTGACTCTCTCTATCTCTCTCTCCCTCCCTCTCTCTCTCTCTCTCTCTCTCTCTCTCTCTCTCCTTCTCTCTCCCTCTATTCCCTCTCTTCAGGGTCAAAGAAGTTAACCTACCGTAAACGTGGATTATGTAGTAGGAAAATGTATATCATAGGGTAACCTGCGATGCGTAGTGCACCGTACCGATGATAGCGTAGTGCACTGTAGTGTAGCGTACTGAGGACAATCGTATCTCGGCGTAGACAATTCGAGTGTAGCTAGCTTTTTCGAATTTTAGAAGAACCCTAAGAATTTGACCTTCAAGCTCCCTTAGTATTTCAAGGAATGTTCTCCTCGTGCCTCTATTTACCCACAAGTTCGTCGGCCATTTCTGGGCACTCGGCAAAGCCCAATTAGGGCCCTCACCCTCCCGGGAATTCGTCGCGCCCCCCGTTAGCGACTTATTTTTGTGGCCCCTGCACCCATTTTTAACCCTTTTTTCGTGGACATTTGATTTGTCGTAACCTTCTAGTCAATTGTTGCTCAAAATTTTGGCAAAAATTCCCAAATCTCAGCCTCAATTTCCCCTGGGCGCCAGCAAAAAGTGCAACTTATTCTTTGCTCCTCCCTACCCGTGCCGAGTTGCTCCTCTGCAAAGGGTCTATAGATGGGGCGGAATCAAGGCAATTTAGGGCCCTCCTCCTCCTAGCAGTCGCCGGCCCGCACCTCTAATTGATCAGTGCTGGTCGGCCGTTTTTTGATCTCCTAACGGCCGGCTGAACGGCTACGGAATAGAACAAAACACGGGGCGGCCGGCCTGGGCAGCTGATTTTTTGTGTGGAGCGTGTAGAATTTAATTTTGTGTTGTTTGTTGCAGATTTTTGCGGCCGAGACGCCGGTTTTGCACTTTTTTGGCTGTAAAATATTTTAAAGGAGCTGGGAAGTGCGAATTTTGAAGAATTCCGTTAATTGGCTTTGGAGAGCTACGCGCAGCACAAAATGGCGTTAAATAACGCGAAAAATTTTGGAAATTTTTCTTGGGGCTGCGGCTAACTGTCTAGGTCTAGTTGGCGACAGAGGTCAATCCTGGCCCTGAAGAGACGTTTAAAGGGATTCTGAAGCGCACGACTCGACCCCTTCTACTTACTAGGTGCCGACAGCTACATGCAACGCTAAATTCCGCCGGATTGCCTCTAATTTAAATTTTTGAAACATATTTTGGAGCAGCGCCTAGATGGATAGACCTAGTTGAAGGCCTAGGTCGATTCTGGCCCTGCAGATATGGTTTAAGGGACAGGTAAGCAAGGATTATGGGGGGACTTATCGGATAAATCTCTATGGATTTTTCCGCGACACGCGACGCGCGCACGTCTTCATGACGGTCCAGTCGATTACGCTATCAAAAGCTGTGTCCAACACACCCAGGGCCGTAGCTGACCCAAAATTTCGGGGGCGGCAAGGTTTCGGGGGGGCGGCGGTTCAAAAACATCTGCCGTTTAGCGCCCTTTTTCAAAAATTTTCAAAAATGATAAGGGTCCCCCCTTATCATTTTTTCGCCATCTGCAGATTTCGGGGGCGGCATGCCCCCCGGGCGACGGACGCAAGGCCAAGATTTCATAAGTGCAGTTTCCCCGGTGCCATCTGCGCATCTGCCATGGCCTCCCCGGTAGCTATTGATAACATTTTGCCGCACTAATTACCTAACAAAGTCTTGGAAATCTATAGCAACGGCTAATAATAATAGAAAACAAACTGTTTAAATTAAACTTTGAAAATTCGTAGCAACGGCTAATAATAATAATAATACCAATAATAATAGTAAACAAACTGTTTAAATACATAAGATGATCGGAAAGTTCTTGAAGACAATATTTTTTTATACAATACACAGTGTTTAGGTAAATCTAATAGAGGCAATTTTGCATATGGTAAAATGACAATCCAATTGGAGATTTCAGTATCACAATATTATTAATTCGAGGAAAAATATAAATTAGCAAAATGATTAAAAGCTGGACGCCAAGGTCTCCGGGTTTTATTTATTACTTTGATTATTTGGTTTTTAATTTTTGCGTTGTTTTAATTAGATCTAACGACTTTCAACTGCTGGGGTTAAAAGACATGTTGCTATCAAACGGATAAAAAAGCTCGCCAAATGCTTACGGAATTTCTTATTCACGAAAAAAAAAATGGATTGTTCGCTATTTTCTGCGGCATTGGTTTTATTTCATAAGATTTAGCACGAAAAATGGCTTATGAAGTACACTCTACTAAGCAAATAAAGCTATTCCATCTGATGGCAAAATAGTTGGGAAGCTATTCGCGCCTGCACTTATGTATTTCCAAATTTTATACTTACTTACGATTTTATTATTAGTAGCCGTTGCTATAGATTTCCAAGATTTTGTTAGGTAATTAGTGCGGCAAAATGTTCATTAGCGGCCGGGGAGGCCTTGGCAGATGCGCAGATGGCACCGGGAACGCTGCACGTATGAAATCTTGGCCTTGCGTCCTGGATCCATGCCCCCCTCCTACGGGCCTGAACACACCCCCAAAAAACGCCCCGCCATGTACCCACAACGGAACGTTGCGGAACTCTGATCTCTAGGAAATTTTTGACGGACTAGGGCCTTAAAATCTGGCCTTTTTCGGGGGGTTTTCCCCGGGAAGCTGCATTGTCTAATCCTGCGCTTCTCGATGGGGTGAATCCCCCAAGGAATGCTGGCCGCTCCCAAACACCGGTTGACAATGATAGACATGACAGCAAAAGGGGAAGCCCCCTCTGGATTCATCAGACTCTCCAGCAACGACAGACGGATCAGGAAAGAACGGGGGGGGGGGGGGAGACGTTGCGGCTTATCTTCTCACACCGGAAACGCGCACCCTCCGACTGCAGCAAGTTTTTGAACTTTGCAAAGTCCAACGAATTCGAGCAGTTCAGGGCGCTCAGCTTATTGGGAAATTGACGACATCCTAAATGCTCCCATTTTCTGCATAGAACCACGGAGATTTTTTAGGGGAAAATCTGACAGATTGAAATTTCGGCATTATGAAATCTCTATTTCTCTGTCGCTCTCTGTCGCTCTCTCTCTATCTCACTCTCTCTCTCTATCTCTCGCTCTCTCACTATCTCTCCATTTATCTTTTTCTATCTCTCTCTCTCTCCCTCTCTCTCTCGCTCTCTTTCTGACGCTCTCTCCCATACTCAACCATTAGTGCGCTGTCCCACACCTTCCCATTCCCTTTATAAAACCCTCTATCCTAGTGGCCATCTCAACTGGCCAGATCCCGATGGACGCCTATCTTTTTTGGGCCCTCATGGAGACGAGGGGGGGAACTGCTGCTCCTGTAAATTGGGTTGGGGGGATGGCCGGGGCTCCAGGAGGTGATGAAGGGCAGGAGAATGCATCTTTCTATCTATCCTTTTTGGCTTTTTCCATCTTCTGCCTCTCTTTCTCCTACTCCACCCCAATTGCCTAGAAATCCCGCGCTGTGCACATATTTATCTTCCTCATCACCACTTTGATCGGTTACAATAAGGCCAGGCTTAAGCTAAGCCCAAGTTAAGCCAAATCTAAGCCTAAGCCTAAGCTAAGTTAAGCCTAAGTTAAGTTAAGCCTAAGATAAGCTTAGGCGAAGCTAAGCCTAAGCGATGCCTAAGCGTAATTTAATTTAAGCCCAAGATAAGCCTAATCCTAAGCAAGTCGACAGCACCTAGATCCCCCACCATACCCGCCAAGGCTCATTTTCAGTTCCTCATCCCTTTAAGCCCACCAAAAATTTTTTGTGGAGCACACCGTAAGCCCCTTCTTGCCAATTTCCAATTAAACTACATGTTTTTGATCCCGGCGCAGAAGTCATCCCATTTGGGAGGCAAACAGCTAATCCCCCTTACCTCGAGGCGCTCCCCTGACCCCCACTCCCCACCAAATTATCCACGGCTCTCTTGATCAGAGAAAAATTCTAGAACACTTTGTTTAGCTTCAGAAACACAGAATTCTTATTGTCGAGCAAAAGCAAAATGGTTGGCTTGGCCGGGAATTGAACCTGGGTTGTGCACCTGATAGGACAAGCGCACTACCACTTGGCCAAGTCGTCAGAAAAGTATTTTGATGTCTAACAGAGAACAATTTATAAACAATTGGAAGAGTTTTAAGAAGCTGACGATGCGCTTAGTTTTGAAATATACCCAGAAGTTTATCATATATTTATTGAACTATGAAGCCAAATGTTGCTTTTTACGCTCTTTTTTGTATAATTTAATTCTATTCATGTTATTATTCTTCTTCTTCTTATTATTATTCTATTAGTATTAATATCTATTCTATTAATTCTACAATTTTTTTGCAGAGAACACTTATGTGAAGATGAGATAAACCCGTGCGACGACGCCAAAATGGACAACTTTTCCTCGGCAAGCACCGAAGCCCCGATGAGCCCCACCTCGGCCGACCCGTGCAATTATACGCCGCAAATATTTTTGGTGAGCTTTGTGTGGGGGTTTAGGCTTGGCTTGGGCTGAGTCTTAGGTTAGGCTTGGCTGAAGCTTGGCTTAAGATTAGGCTTGGCTTCGGCTTCGGCTTAGGCTTAGGCTTGGCTTAGGCTTCGGCTTAGGCTTGGCTTAGCCTTGGCTGAAGCTTGGGTTAGGTGTAGGCCTAGCTTGGCATAGGCTACGGCTTAGGCTTAGGCCTAGGCTTAGGTTTAGGATTAGGCTTAGGCTTGGCCAAGGCTTAGGCTTAGGTTTAGGCTTCGCTTAGGCAGGCTTAGCTTCAGTTCGACCTCAAAGCCCTTCCTCCTTTAAAAACCGAAATTTCAGCTGTGGAAGATGTGGTTCGTGGGGGTTGTCGGCTGCACGACGGCCGTGGTATCGATTTTCCACAATTGCATCCTGTTCTACACCTTTAACTCGTCGAAGGTATCTTACACGCATCAATAACAAAAATCCCAGAATACCGCAAAGTCAAAATTTTCTTAAAATTGATCGGACTCGAAAAACTTTGCAGTATTCGCTGGTGTTTTTGGAGGGCCCAGGAATGCTGTATTTCGACTGCTTGTAGCCTGATAACTAACCTGATTGACGATTGATATAAATTAACCCTAATGGCTAGGCAACTAAATACTAACAACACTGTTTTGTAGAGTATTCGCCACGTTTGGACTCCTCTTTATAATTCAATTAATCCCTGTTTAATAGTGGTTTATGCAAATTAGAGTTTTCAAAATTTTTAGATCTTAAGATTAATTTGTTTATGTTAATGACATTGCTGAAAAAATCGCTGCCCTCTTTATCTGAGCCCAAAGGCATTGATGTTAATTTTTAGAGAAATTAGGGAGCTGGTGTGTTAGCGGGGGAGGGGAAGTGGGGATTTTGAGCAGGGGGAAAAATTACTTTTTTCCAATGTTTTGATAGGATTTTCCGTGCTTCACAGCTATAAAAAGCATCGAATTTTATATATGTCAAACTTTTCGTGAAAAAAATCCAATTTTGAGTTAAAAATTCGTGATTTTCTACTGTCTATAAATTTATGCTAATTTAACGCTAACCTCTTCCTCCCTAACCCGATCGAAATCTACCAGCGCAGCCCCCCGATTAACAGCATGACCGTGTCGAGCATGTGCCCCATCTGCATGTATAGATGCTGCACCGGCAACGCATGCGACGGACGTCTTTCGCCTTCTCTTGCCTTGAGCCCCGGGTGCCGCCACGGCTTCTCCTCGAGTATTTGCAGCTGCTCCGCCGCCGAAACCTCACCTATCTGATGTGGATCTCGCTGTGCGACATCTTCGTCTCTCTCTCCTATATTGCCATCATGTGTGTGCAGGTGAGGAGGACAATTCAAAATGCCGACAGGAAAAACGCAAAAAATACCGACGGATCTCGCTGGTTAAAATCCAACCCCTTACGGTCCTAAAATTGCCTATGGCCAAGGCACTAACATAAGCACACACTAAAATACCGACAAAATGTACTTTCACTAAAAATACCGACACGTAGATTCGCATAGACACTAAATACATGGTCTCAAAAGCCAAAATACCGACAATGGGCCGTCCGAAAGGCCGGCAATAAAAATGCCGAAAAATAGCGACAGATATCGCTAGCTAAATACCGATAGAAATGCTGGCAGCCACCTCAGGATTTGAAATTCGATAAGCACAGTACGATACCAAACAAAATGCGACAGAAAAAACGTCAAAGCAAGCACATATAGCGATCGCTAAAATGTCGACAGAAAAACCTCCAAATAATGCCGATAGCTAGCAAAATTAAAATCCGGACACGTATTGCTTGCCGCTACTTATCTGATTTCAAAGTCACCATCACAATATCAGCAAACAAAATACCGACAACAAAAATACCGACAACAAAAACTCCGACAGCTCTCCACCCACAACCGCCATGCAAACACCACAGTTTCGAAGTAAAGGTCCAAAAATATGGGATCGACAGCTAAAATCCCGAAAAGTTGTCGGCATTTTTGATTTCGGTGTTTTGTTGTTGAAACAAGATGAGTGGAAATCCATTAGACAATGGCGTACGAAAATTCTTCAAATCTATCTCCCTAGGTATACGCCGACTATTTCGAGTCGTGGCCCCTGTTCGTCGCCTGGCACAACTACCTCCTCTACGCGTTCACCATCTCCGGAATCACTTTTTGCTGGTCGTCATTTCTCCTGATGGCGGCCACCATCGAGCGATACCTGCAGAGTACCGGCAATTCAAAGTAGGTTGTATGAGCAAGATGCGGCTGTGGATTCAGCCGCGCCGCGACGCGCAACGCGCTGGATAGATATTTTTAGCGTAATGGATTAAGGTATTCAAACGAAAATTAGAAGCGGTTTAGAAGAGAATCCTTAGATTTGCCTACCAGGTACTTTTAGAGGAACCAGGAATCAGGTATTTTGAGCAAAATGTCGAAATTCATAATGTCGAACCACGAACTGTCGAAACGAAGAGCGTCGAAAGGCTATAATGCCGAAATTTCAATACGTCCAGCTTACCCCGAAAAATCGTGAAAATACCGACATTTGGCATTTTCGACACTGTAAAAATGTCGGCATTTTGAATTTCGGTATTATAAAATTTATAATTTTTAAATTTTAAAATCATGATAGATACATCGTTATGGAATAACTCGGCATTTTGCCGAGAATGCCAGAATATGCCGGAAAAGAGGCGGCTGGCTTCACATTTCCTTAAAAGGATAGAATTCGGCTGCGCATCAATGGAAAAGCTCAAAAATTCACCAGTGTCGACGCCTTAACAACAAAATATCGAAAAAAAACCCCCGAAATTTGCCCCGTATCCTCGCGTACTTTTTGGCCGTCTGTACCCCTATCGCTAAATGGCTGATTGGATCCGTTTTTTAATGTCCAAATCGTGTTACCGGCATGTCAAAATACATCCATCGATCCGTTGATTGTTTTCAGAGACGAGGAGAACCCGGAGGAGTTAGATAATCCTGTGTGAGTAACAGAGAAGCTTCTTTTATACTAACAATCTATACGCTAGACTAATCTTTTTGGCTTGCTTTTCTTCCGTCCCTGCTTGTCACTGTCCCTTTAGAGTTTAAACAAGATCGATAACCCCTCAAGCATGCTAAATGTTTTTCCTGAATGTCGGTCGTCTAACAGGGCTGAGGCTTGGCTTAGGCTTAGGCTTGGCTTGGTCTAGCAGGCCTAGACTTCAGCTTGGTTTAAGCCAACCCAAGCCCAAGCCAAGTTTAAGCCTGGCTTGGGCTTGGCTTGGGCGTAGCCTCAGCTTAGGTTAGGCTTAGGCTCGAGCTTATACTTAAGCTGGTGCTTGGGACTTAGGAGTTAAGACTTAGGCATTGCTTCCTTGGCTTGAGCTCTGCTTGGCTTGGGTTTTGCTCAGGCCCAGGCTTGGGCGTGGGCTTGACTTAGGCCGAGGCTTGGCCTGGTTTAAACTCAAGCTTAGGCTTAGCTAGTGCTTGGGTCAATTTTAAGTCTGGCTTGGGCTTAGGTTTGGCTTAGGCAGCTTAGGCTCAAGCTTATACTTAAGCCTGTGATTGGATTAGGTTAAGGCTCCGGCTTAAGCTTAGGCTTCCCTTGGCTTGAGTTCCGCTTAGGTTTGGCTTAGGCTTAGCTTAGCTCACGCTTGGCTTGATTTAAACTCGAGCCTAGACTTGCTGAGGCTTAGGCATGGCGTGGGCATGGCTTAGGCTTAGGCTTCATCGAAGTTCACGTCCTGCAACTTTTCAGAAACCCCTGGAAACTTGCCAAACTGTCAAAACCCGGCTTAAACCGACAAGTTCACTTCCGAAAACTATCATTTCTTCGTTTCCATCCCCGTCCCCTCTCCCCTTTTCGAGTTCCATTATTTCGATTCATCTATTAGTGGTGGTGGTTAGTTGTTGTTCAACCCAATCCCAAACGAATCCCTTCCATTTCCAGATCAACAGCTGTATTCCATTTCCTCTCCAACCATCGAGGACTCGTCGTTTTTCTTTGTATGTGCTTCGGCATCGTCTTCAGAGGCACCGTATACCTCGAGATAAATGTAGGCGATTTTTGAATCACGTCCAAAATCACCGTTTTTAGATCGAGTACAACACGAATTGCTCGGGGTTTGCCGCATATTCAGTATATGCGATTCCGCTAACCGATTACCCGGACTTTGACATGCTGTGGAAATTTTGGATTCGAAAGATTGCCACCGTGTTCTTGCCATTCGTTGGTGAGTTTTAAGGCGAATTTCGCAGAAATTGGTTAGGCCGCCTGGGCTTATGCTTGGGCTTGAGCTTGGGCTTAGATTTCGACTGAAGTTAAGCTTAGGATTCGCCTTAGGCTTAGGCTTATGCTTGGACCTGGGCTTGGGCTTAAGTTCAGCCTAGGCTTGGGCCTTTGCTTCGGCTTAGGCTTACGCATAGGCGCCTGCATAGAAGCACACTTAGACTTCTGCTTGGGCTTGGGTTTGAGGCTTAGGCGTATGCTTGGCTTAGGCTTACGCTTAGGCACGGGCTTTGTCCTAGGCTTGGGCTTAGGCTTAACTTCGGCTTAGGCTTAGGTTATGCTTGGGGTCAGGCCTCGGTCAGGCATAGGCTCAGGCTTCGCCTTAAGCTAAGCTTAGGATAAAGCTTCGCCTTTTATTCCTCGTTTTCGCATGGCAAGCTAGCAGAGATTTCACGGAATCCATAACCCCCAATTCAGTCCTCGCCTACTTCAACGCGGCCATCGTGATGAACGTGAGGAGAACGGATCGAGATCAAACGGTGAAGACGCTCATTCTCTACGTCACCGTCGGCAGCAAGTATGTCAGATTTTTAAGGGTGCACAAAAGAGCAAAAAATCAAACATCAATCGATCGAATACACCCAAAGACCACCCCAAGACCCGAATAAACTCCAAATTTCCAGAGGGGAAGTGGCCCGGCTACGGTCTAGGCTACGCACCGTCACCCGGATGCTTGTCATCGTCGTTTGTACATATTTGTTTTCGAATATTCTGGACGTCATTATCGCCGGGATGGAAAATATCAGTCCGGGTAGGTTGGATGGGCGGGAATTTTTATTTTATCCAAAGCCAAAGCGTTTAAAGGGGAGTATGCTTAGGTGTAAGGAGTGATCTCAAGTATTTAGAGGGTTGCAAGGCTTTTACAAGAGTATCGTAGTCTACAAAATGCAGATTCCACATACCGTATTCCAGGGATTCTCGTGCGAAACGCTGAGGCGTATGCCGTCACTTCCGATATATCCTCGTTCCTGCCGATTCTGGCGTGCGCGATGCGGTTACCGATTTATACAGCCAGCGATCGAGAGATTCGGATGGAGGTGAGAGTTAGTGAGAGAGAGAGAGAGGGAGATCAAGAGAGCGAGATCGATCTACAGAGAGATTTCAATATAAATTTTTAGGTGGTGACAACACTCCAACTGCTTGGCCGTCGAGTTTTCGGCCTTCTGCCATGTTGTCGACCGGTATTCCGAAGAGATAAATGGGGAGCACCACCCGAACCACCGGGAGAGACGTACTATATGCCAAAAAAGATCTCGATGAGGGAAGCCACCCGAGGGTATGTGATGTAGCCTTTGACGAAAGAGTGTATTGGGTCCAGGAAAGAGCCAGAGAGAGAGGGAGAGAGACGGAGAGAGCGAGAGAGAGAAAGAGAGAGAGAGCGCGAGATGGAGAGATAGAGAGAAAGAGAGAGAGCGAGAGAAACAGAGATATAGAGAGAGAGAGAAAGAGGGACAGAGAGAGAGAGAAAGAGCGAGAGATAGAGAGAGAGTGAGAGAGAGAGAGAGTAAGTGTGAAAGAGAGACCAATAAAAAGTGAGTGGGAGAGATATAGTGAATGCGCAAGTGAGAAATAGGGATCCTAAAGAGTCCCGGCTCGCTTTATACAGTGCGTATCAAAAAGATAGAGCCACTTGGTTTTTGACCTTTATCTTCGCGCCGATGTATTTTCATGGCTTTCGATGCATACATCTTATAGCCCTTGAAAAGACGCATCTTTCTGTGTACTCAAAATCTTTCTATATTGGATATTGAGCTTTTTATGATGAAAACAAGTAAATAGAGCCAAAAACACAAGTATCAAAAAGATAGAGCCACCATTTGCATCCACTTTACATGCGCTTTGAGCTTGCAAATTACATGGTAATTGTCATGTAAATCGTTCTTTTCATTCAAATCAACCTGTCCGGACCAAAATTTTATAGCTCTGACCATTTTGGAGTGCGTAAACGAAGCAAACACTTGATAAAAAATGTGCCTGTCTATTGCTACTATTCAACGACATTTTTTTCGCAACCGTCGATGATTTGAATGAAAAGAACGATTTACATGATAATTACCATGTAATTTGCAAGCTCAAAGCGCATGTAAAGTGGATGCAAATGGTGGCTCTATCTTTTTGATACTTGTGTTTTTGGCTCTATTTACTTGTTTTCATCATAAAAAGTTCAATATCCAATATAGAAAGATTTTGAGTACACAGAAAGATGCGTCTTTTCAAGGGCTATAAGATGTATGCATCGAAAGCCATGAAAATACATCGGCGCGAAGATAAAGGTCAAAAACCAAGTGGCTCTATCTTTTTGATACGCACTGTACCCCCATTTTCGGCGCTGTGCCTAGGTTTCCGTATTTTCACGGCGATCCTTTCGCAAAGAATCTGGCCGCTAAATCCTCAGAAACCTCGGCTGGCATGCCTGGGTACACAAGCGACAGAAAAATACCACCAATTTTAGTCGCGGAATGTCAGCCCTAATCATGGCTCGTGCTCAGCTGGTCACCCGCAGTCTCAGCACCGACAGCACCGACTCCATCTGTATCGTCTGAACGGCCGGAAGTGGTCTCCGGGATTTCTCAAACAATTTTTAGGGTATTTTTGATTCGACAAATATTTTGGGTGTCCTTGCGATCTGTTTAAACTGTCGAAAATCAGAATGTAGTTAACGACGATTTTTTTGACAGGTATTGAAATGTCGAAAATGAATTTTAACAAAGCTAAATCCGAAAAAACGATTTCGAAAAAATGTCTTTTGACAAAATAAATCCCGACAAGCTAAATTTCGACAAAACGAATTTCGACAAACCAAATGTCGACATTCTAATTTTCGACATTACAATAGCCAATAGCTTTTCCCCAAAAATTTTCCTATCAGATTTGCTATACATTTTCTGCTATCAATGGGCAAGAAAATGACATGACCGGATGGTACAGTACCCGTACCATATCCCTCCCACATCATTTGCTAAATCTTGCCCCCCCCCCCGCTGTGGATTCGAGTGCCTTTGCCCCCCTTTCTCGCGATCTTGATTAATGTTCCTTCCAACTGGTATGGGTGTATTTTTGTATATCTCACGTGTCTCTGACCCTTAAATGATTGCAGAAAGAGATATGTGAAAGGGGAAAGAAATAAAGATATTGGATGAATGGGGGCGACCCTTGGTCTGATCACCCGCACCCGGGACGGCCTAGGAAATTCCGATTTTTTTTTTTGCTGGTTTGCTGGGTGATATCATAGGTGAGAGAGAGAGAGAGGGAGGGAGAGAGAGAGAGAGAGAGAGAGAGAGAGAGAGAGAGAGAGGGAGAGACACAGAGGGAGAGAGAAAGCCGGTCGGTTCGCCTGGACCCCCCTCGTTGGAGTGCGATAAATTTGAAGCGGCGAAACGCCGCGTTTTACGGGCTACCGTAACCCGTGCCGCGCTGGGTGCCCTAAAAAATACCCCAGGAATCAGAAAACGCACAGCCTTGGAGGATGACGAATGCAAGTTTAAGCATAAAGCAGATAAAAACTTTAAGATAGGTTTGGCTTAGAATTGGCTTAAGCTTGGCTTAGGCTTGGCTTAGGTTAGGTTAAGCTTAGGCTTAGGCTGAGGCCTAGACTTGGGATTAGGCTTAGTTTAGCGTCGGCTGATGCTTATGCTTATACAGGGTGTCCCAAAAAAAAAAAGATCCCCCCCCCCCCAAAAATTTGAGCCAGAGGGCACCCACGGAGCTGAAAATTTGCACAGAGGTAGCGAAGCCAATTTCCCATGTTTATGGAAAGTTTGAGCCATATCGGCCGGCGGGTTTTAAAGTTATAGCGAAAATACTTTTCATTTTTAATTTAATATGGGGATTTTTGCAATTTGCATCAAAAATATGCGTTATTCTTGAATTTACGAGCCGATTTTGCATAAATTTTGCCAAAAAATGCCATTCTCTTGCTGGAGCTTTTGGAAAACGATTGCTCATGCGGCGTGAAAAGGATCAGCAAGACCGCTGAGTACAAGATATATTTAGGCGTATGGTTGGGAAGGGTTTAGGCTAAGTCTAAGCTTAGGCTTGGCTTAGCCTCATGCTTCGGCCTAGCTGTGATTTACGTTTGGCTTGGCGCAGGCTCGGCCGCCGGTTCAGGTGATGTCCGCTTATTTGCGCAACGGAATTCGCTTATTTTAGGAGCACTGCACTGTTAGCGGGGGGGGGGTCGAATCTTTCGAAGTAACTATTCACGAGCTTTGGGAATTTTTGTCGATGACCGCAATCGCTTAGCAATTTGTTGGGATTTTCTGAAGCCCGATTTGCACGCCGCGCTTCCAGCCATTTTAAAACCCGCTCCAAATTGCCAGCCAGCCCGAAGGCCAAGACACGGAATGTCAGCCAGGACCCTCGAGGCTATTTGCCCGTTCTTTGAGGGCCCCGCCGAAAACTGGGCCCCCGCCCGGGCCCCGGATTCCGGGCAACACCTCTGCACGCCCCTTCCATCCTTCCTGTCCACCGTATCCCCCCCCTGCCTGCCCTTGGCTGGGCTATTTGGCAAATTCGGTGGCGGGCTATAATAGTCGAGTCGAGCGAGCGTCGGCCGGGCCATTTTTCGACTTGTGAATGCATCATGGTCTCGTCATAGCCCTCGTGCTATTTATTCTGAATGTTCTGGTGGGTTTTGGGATGGAAACTTGCAGGGGTTAATTGGGGATATTGACGGCGACTTTTCTTCGTGGTTAGCGAGAGAGGGAAAGAGCGAGTGAGAGGGAGCGAGAGAGGGTGAGAGAGAGAGAGAGATAGAGAGAGAGAGAGAGAGAGAGAGGGAGAGAGGGAGAAAGAGAGATAGAGTGAGAAAGATAGAGAAAGAGCGAGAGAGATAGTGAGAGCGAGAGAGAGAGAGAGAGAAACAAAGGGGAGAGTGTTTTAGAGAGAGAGAGAGAGAGAGAGAGAGAGAGAGAGAGAGAGAGAGAGCGCATGAGAGGGTGAGATTCGCAGATACAGCGAGAACGAGACGCCTAGCGGAGAGAGGGGGGGAGAGAGTGAGATACAAATAGAGCTACAGACAGATAAAAAACTATTTCCAAGCAACCGCAAAAATTTAATCTATTTTTTTCGGAATTTTTGCCAGGATAGAATCATTTTATTATTTATCTAGCAAATCTCAAAAATCCACGCCTTTTATTTTGGGCGAATAGTTAGGCGCGCGGCCAACAAGTTGATCGGTGCCCTTTTTGCACCGGTTGCCCCCGGAACTTGGTGAAAGACGCGAAAATAGCCAGATAGCCGAGAGACGCAGGCACAAAAATGCGTAAAGAGGTGCCAAACGCTTTCCCCCCGCGCCCCGATCGTCCATCAATTTATCCAGGGGGGAGGAGAAAGAGAAAAAGAGGGTGGAGGGGGAGGATGAGAAACAGGGGCAGCCCCGGAAAGGGATTGTATTGAGGGGAAAGGGGGGGATGGTGTTAGTATGGGGATGGAATGACGGGATCGATCCCGCGATCGGTCGTCTGCTTTGCATTGCTCTATTCGGCGCTACATCTGATAATCCACGCCGTGGCCGAGGTTGAGGGTGACCAAATTGAAGTTGGGCTGCCCGTTACGGTAGGCGGGGCAAAGGATATGATTTAAAACCGGATATTTTGCGAAAAAAATCAGAGGAAGTGCGTGGGTTAGAGGTTATGCTAATTTCTCTCTCCTCACTTTCGCTCAACTGTTCTCTCTCTCACTCGCTCTCTCGCTCTGTCATTCAATATTTTGCGCTAACCAGCTTGAGAACTTTCTCATTCTCTCCCGTTTCCTGACTCTCTCTAGCTCTCTCTAGCTCATCCTCCCCGTCTCTCTCGCTCACTCTCTCGCTCACTCTCTCGCTCTCTCTGTCTCTCTCTCGCTCACTGGCTCGCTCTCGCCCTCTCGGTCTCTCGTTGTTAACCTATTTCTCTAGATATCATTCTACGTATAACTCTCTTTTTATCCTGCTCTCTTTCTCACTCTCTCTGCCTCGTTCTCTCTCTCTTTCTCCCTATGTCGCTCTCTATACCACTAAAGGAACTATGAAGCCATAAGAGCCTTAGAATCGAGTCCATCTCCTTTTTCAGCCACACGAAGCCGACGCCCTAACCCCCGAGGAGCGATGTGAAGCATGCCAAATTGTCCTCCGCACCGTCTACGGCCATTTTGGTAGACAGGTACGCCGCCTGACCCCTACTGTCACGCTCCCTTTAACCTCTTCCAGGTGCCCAGTCGACGTAAATTGGCCCATCAGCTGCGCCACGAGTGCAATCGGCACTATCAGGTTCGTGGCAAAGTTGCCGGATCCTAAACCTTGCCCTCCCTACAGTACCGCAAAAAGTGCATCCTGTTCACGCGGCTGAACACGGAGACGATCTTTCGCGAGATGGCCAACGCCGACTTCAAGCCGATCAAGCCGTGTACACTGTTGAAGGTGGGGGAAGTGGAATAGACATTTGAAAAATAGGAATATTGGAAAGTAGAAAAAGAAATTGGGTTTCGACCCTGAAAGGCCGGTTTTAAACCATTTTTCATTGTGCTTAAACGCAAAAACTCTACAAATTTTTTAAACAAACGATTGTAATACAGATTTTCGATCAAAATCTCGAATTTTTCACATTTTTAGCTTGTTTTTCGCTTTAAATATAGCCAAATTAAAAAAGACTGTAAAAATGCGTGCTGTTACGTTACTAGGGATTCTGGGCCTAGACAAAAAATTCTTTTCGCCCAAACCCCCCCGATAATAAATAAAATAAGATAAAATAAATAACCAGAACGGGATTCCCAATATCCTAGTTTCAGTTTTCATTGTTCCGTTAAAACCCTAAAATTCCAGGAATGCAAACGTCTCCAATCCCCAATCGTGGAGGGAGCCGAATTCCCGTCGGAGAACGCGACTCTGCAGCCAACATCACCCCCGGCACCCCCCGCCGACACGACCCCGGCGGTGACGCTCGCAAAGTGAAGCCCTCATCTATTGTCTGTTTGTTGCTGTTCACTCCCATTTATTGATGTGGGTATTATATTCGGATACAGTACGGGTTGCTACACAAAACACCAAGCAAAAAAACAGCGTCAAGAAGTGTTGTTGGCTCATCTGGACAGCCACCGCAGATGGGCGGGCATGGTTAGCAGATAGCCGTGGTCGTACGTGTAGAGGCGCTTGTCGTACGGGTTGTAGCTGATCATGTTCGCGTTGCCGTAGAGGTTAACCTGGAAAGAGGGGTAGAGAGGGGGAGAGCGACAGAGAGAGAAAGAGAGAGAGAGAGAGAGGGAGAGATAGAAAGAGAGGGAGAGACAGACGAGGGACAACACGAGACGATAGAGACAGAGAAACAGAGAGAGAGAGAGAGAGAGAGAGAGAGAGAGAGAGAGCGCGAGAGAGAGGGAGAGCGAGAGAGAGAGACAACAAAGAGAGAGAGAAAGACGGAGAAAGGGATATAGATAGCAACTCCTACCCATTTAATATTCGGCGTAGAGTACTGAAGCCGATAAAAATCGTACGCCGTCGAGATATGGGACGCCTGTTCCCAGGAGCTGTCCACCTAAAGCGCGCCTTCCATCGACCCCGCCACCGTAACCCTACCAAATACAGCACCCCGCAGACAACGAATCCATTGGCGAGCGCCGTGTGGTTGACCAGCGTCAAGTTGTGCGTCTCGTACACCGTCAGATTGTTGATGTCGACCTCATCGTTTTATTTTTGAGAATTTGACCGCTTTTACCTTATCCACCGACAAAAAGGGCTCGTGCTCAAAGTGGTACATCACCCACAGGGCATTCTCATCGATTGCCAAGTCGAAATAGGCCAGTGAGGCGTTGAAGAGGTACTAGGGGAACATTAAATTATTCTTTATGCCTACGTTGTCCCCTCTAAACGCTGCTCCCTCGATCTCCAGCTCGTCGTAGCGTTGCGTGGACAACTCGTACTTGCCTTAATAAGATCGCGTTTTTTCAAATTTTCATAATTCTGTATTTTTGTGAGGTGATGAAGTAGTTTCGTCTTTCTCTCGCGCGCGCGCTCTCTCTCTCTCTCTCTCTCTCTCTCTTTCTCACTCACTCTCTCTCCGCCACTTTCTCACTTTCTCTTATCCACTCTCACACTCTCTCTCTCGCTCACTCTCTCCCTCTCTCTCACTCTCTCTCACTCTCTCTCCCCCTCCCTCTCTCACTCTCTCCCGCTTTCTCACTCTCTCTCAGCCACTCTCTCACTTTCTCTTATCCACTCTCTCACTCTCTCAGCCACTCTCTCTCTCTCTCCCTCACTCTCTCTCTCCCTCTCTCTCTCACTCTCTCTCAGCCACTCACTCACTTTCTCTTATCCACTCTCTCAGCCTCTCTCACACTCTCTCTCTCACTATCTCTCTCTCTCTCTCTATCTCTCGCTCCCTTCACCCACCAATCTTGGGAGTCCCAGCTCGGTGATAGTAGAACGACCCATTAAACATGACATGATTCGTCCCGTCGTATACATGTGGAAGTCGATGGCTAAAAGGTGTTCGTGCCCCTTTAATCGCCTCACATCCGCTTCGGTCTTTCCCTCCTCATCTCGGCCTCGCTGGGGTACTCGACGATCTCGTCGCCTTGGAAGTGGTTGACCAGGAAGCGCTTCATCATGTCCTAGACCACCGAGCAGTTATGCCCCCCAAACTACGACACCCACATCGCCGGTCCGCGGGTACGCGTCTCGCATCCAATTACCGTAGTAGGTGCTCGAATGGGAGTGGAACACCGATTTGCCGACGGCTTGTAGTTTGCAGTCTAAACGCGTCAGAAATGCCGAAATTCAATGAACGTAAGGCTTTCAAAATGTCGAAACGGAAAAATGTCGACATAATGCAGAAATTTCCAAAAATGCCGAAATTCATATAGTCGAATTTTGAAAATGCCGGAATGCCGACATAACGCCGAAATTTCGAAAATGCCGAAATTCCAAGGTGCCGAGATTTGACGACCTAAATCTTATTTTTGGTCGTCGAAATTCGTAATGTCGAAATTTCATAATATCGAATTTCCTTCGCAAATTTACAATGTCGAATTTGGTAGCGTCGAAATTTGGTAATGTCGAAAGTTCAAAATGTCGACATTTTATGTTGTCGAAAACTCTGACTTTGACATCAAAATTCAGATAGACAAAGGATGGAGATGGAAATCCCCAAAATACGGCGCAAAAAAATGTCGAGATATCCAGATTTCGGCATTCTGATTTCAACTTTTAAAAATATTGTAAATCTGAAAACGAAAACCCGAGAGACCTCGCCATGCCGACGTTTTTCAAATCCCAAAAACCCTACGTGCCGTCGCTCCATGAATATACGCAATTTCGGTTGGCTCGACGTCCATCATATCGTAGTCGGTGTCGGTGGCGTTCATGCAAACCTTTAGACATCCCTCCAATTCCACTGACGTGTTTGATAAAAGCTAAATTAGCGTTAGAATTCGCAAAATTGTGTAGTTTGTGGAGGTTCTACACTCCAAACGGTATTGGGCTGTTAGCAGGGGGTAGGTTTATCTGAGGAACCAAATTCCACCCAGCAATCACTGACTTATAGCGAAAATTTAAGCGAAGCGAAATGTAAATCATTTTATATGATTTTACGCCGATTTTAGATAAAAAATCGCACAAAAATTATGACAAATTTCAAAAAATTTTTGATTTTTGGGCAAAAATGTAAGAAATACGGCCAAAAAGGTAAAATATTTTGTACTTTAGCAGTCGACACACTACAAAAACACAGTATAAAGTTACAGAATACAGGGTGTCCCAAAAAAAATCCCCCCCCCCCTAGCCGGCCGCAGACCTGTCCGATTTTTACGATTTAGGTATCTATCGAAAACTCTCGGAAAGGCGAGTCCAGCACGCCATTTCGATTTTCATAACTTTGAAATTTTTCTATCACTTACTAATCTTTTTGCGCAACGGGCGGATTTTCTGATGTTTTTCTGACCAAGGGTTTTTTACAAAAATCGCAATTTAAGAACTTTTATGCCTGTTCTGGCAACCCAACGACAGCTTTTTGAAAGCCCTGTGTGAAAACGCAGCTTGGATAACGATTAATCCGGTTAAATTGCGTTTTGGACAAAAAAGCCTGTCCTTTTGGCATGAAAAATGCCGAAAATCGAGCCAAAAATTCCGACATTTCGAAAATCGGCAAGATGTGCTGGACTCGCCTTTCCGAGAGCTTTCAATAGATACCTAAATCGTGAAAATCGGACAGGTCTGCGGCCTGCTAGGGGGGATCTTTTTTTTGGGACACCCTGTATGGTTGATAGATAAAAATAGGCTTTCCCCCGATTAAATACACCCCCGCTAACAGTCTAGCGCCCTCCAAACTACACGCCCACCCTCTGCACGGCCAGCGGCAGCAGCCGGGTGAGACCCTTCGGTATTGTGGGCTCCGGTTCGGACGATGGCACCGGGCAGTCCATATTCGTGAACTATATAAGAAAGAGATACCAAAACGCGCCCTTCCCCCTACCGTAGGACATTGCAGGGTGCTCTCCATCAGCAACGATCGATCCAGAGGACAGTCCCTGCATTCGGCGTCTCGACCCGGGTACCCGGGCGGCCCGATTGGGCCCTGGTGACCTGGGATTCCGGACAGTCCGGCTCGCCCGGCCGGCCCTGGCGGCCCGGGCCTCCTAAATCATGCTCAATTCATCGAGATGGCTACCGTACCCCTGCGGTCCTGGAGGTCCGGGAGCGCCGGTTCGACCCCTCTCGGTGTTCCCCTCATCGGTGCAGTACTCGTGTAAATCCAGGCATTTGTCCAGTAGTTCGTTCACCGGAAATGGTCGTGCTGTGCTGATTAGTTCGAAGTATATGATTGGGTTTTAACTTAAGCCAGGAATTATAGGCCGAAGCCTAGGCTTCGGCTTAGGCATATGCATAGGCTTGGCTTAGGCTTGGCTTAGGCTTGGCTTAAACTTGGCTTAGGCTTGGCTTAGGAATAGGCTAACAAGGGGATGGTCTCAGCTCGGAGTCGAATTCGGATTTGAAAATTTGCACACTTATAGAGCTCGACGAGACAAATCGATTGGTGTAACTTTCAGCAGCAGATACCCCGAACTAACAAAGTTATAAGCATTTTTAGTTTTTGCATACATTTTGCAGATTTTTCGCCATACCTTCATAAGCCCTCCCCCTTCCCCCATCAGCGTGGTCTGGTGGTCTAGTGGTGAAGTCGGCGGCGTCTGGGGAATCTATCAAGGGTTCGAACCCGCTCACGATTTTTATTTTTTGCTTTTTGGTCCAAAGATTCCTCTTGGCATTCCAAAGACCTTTAATGGCTTTTTAGGCATTCACCAGGCCCAGGAAGCGCTCGCAGCAAAAAATCCCACTCCTAAAAATTTTTGGAAATTTTGAGAGTTGGCAAGGTAACCATAGTAGGATCAGTTCAAAGAAAATAATTTTGATTATTTTAATGCAGCTTGGGATACGATAAAGTGTTGATAAGCAGATTGCCAGCCTTCTGAAAATTGCCCCAAAATTTTTTGAGGAGGCATGAGCACAGGCAAAAAATTTTAAATTTTTCGCAAAGCTGCTTTATTGTTGGCAACGCTTCCTGGACCTGGTGAATGCCTAAAAAGCCATTAAAGGTCTTTGGAATGCCAAGAGGAATCTTTGGACCAAAAAGCAAAAAATAAAAATCGTGAGCGGGTTCGAACCCTTGATAGATTCCCCAGACGCCGCCGACTACACCACTAGACCACCAGACCACGCTGATGGGGGAAGGGGGAGGGCTTATGAAGGTATGGCGAACAATCGGCAAAATGTATGCAAAAACTAAAAATGCTTATAACTTTGTTAGTTCGGGGTATCTGCTGCTGAAAGTTACACCAATCGATTTGTCTCGTCGAGCTCTATAAGTGTGCAAATTTTCAAATCCGAATTCGATTCCGAGCTGAGACCATCCCCTTGTAAGCTTAGGCGTGGGTTCCGATTTTATACTTTAGATATATTTTTACCAACCTTCACCCTCGACAACGATGTCAGCCATAGATGCAGCGGACTGTCGGTCTTATTCGGTGCTATCGCAGCACGTCTCGCTCTGGCCACAGGCGGCTGGATCGAAGTTTCGTGCAGGCTGAAGCTCAAGATCAGTCCAAAACTCTAAGTCAAAAATACCCGGTCTCACACTGCGACTGCAGGTCGTGGATACGGTAGTGGATGTGGGCAAAAGCCGCCAGGGAAAGGAGGGCCAGCAGAAAATGGCAGATAAGGATGGAGAAACGGTCATCTCGAAGCGAGACCCCCATTGGAATAGATGAAAATCGATGGTCAGTACGATCCGAGGCTTCTTTCCGGCATCGTTTATTAGTCTGCGAGGTCGGACATGCCAGTGAGGATGAGGATGAAATTTGATCCGCCGATCAAAAGCGCGCTTTCGGGACCGTCACGGCATTCCATCCCTTAATCAAAAGGCACGGATAGGAAATTTGGTACGAGACGCCCCTATGCACTCTCAACTGTCCACGAACGGTGTAATTTGTACGGTCTAAGCGGAAAAATCCCCCCGTTTGCTACAAATCATGATTTATCTCGAAATTTTCTTAGCAAAAACGAAAAACAAAATAGATTAAAATGTTCTACGGATGATTGCGCATCTTTTGAGCCCCGATATCTAAAATCTATTCTGTCGTATTTTGGGAATAACGGTTTGAAGTTTTTATTCTAAATATTTGGCCTTTTTATCAACTCCTGAAAACGGTATTTTTTTAATGAAATTCGAGCTTTGTTTTTGGAAGAATCAGGGTCGGTTACCCCCTGTAACGTACAATTGGATCTGAAAATGGCTCGAAATGGCTGTTTTGCGTAAAATTTGGCCTAGTGCATAAATCGACATTAGATCCCTTCCCTGTTTTCCATTTTCTTTGCGCTTTTAACTGTTTTCGATAGCAGAAACATATTCTTTGGGCAAAAAGCAAAAGCTTGGTAAAGTTTTTGGGGGGAAACAGCGGCCAAATGGCGTTCCCCCGGTTGTCTTTTTACAGGACCTTTATTTATTCATAGAAATCTCGTGGGATTTTGGTATTTTCTATTTCTCTCATGGTTCGTCGACGATCACCTTGGCGACGACCCGGAATAGGAGGAGAAGCATGAATGGAATCGACAGCAAACCACCGGATAATCGCCGTTCCGTCACCCGGCACGATATCAGCCCGGTGCGCTGGCAATATGGCACGAGGGTGGCTTGCGGACTCTAAATATCTGAATCTGCATATCACGGTTCTTGCGCATTAGCCGGGGTGGAGGGGGTTTTCAACGTTCTATCGAATGGTTTTGAGAAAATTCGAAAAAATAGCGAAAATATCGAAAACTTTGTGATAGTTCGTCTGTGGGGGGAGGGGTGTGCAAAATAAACTATTACCGAATTTAACACTATTTCAACTAGAAAACGTATCTAAAAAATTTAAAAAGTTTTTAACTCACCATTTTGTTCAAAACCCGGCCATTTTTGGCGCAAAATCGATATTTTTGTGTTTCTTAATCAAAATTTGTAAATGGAACCCATTGAGGAATCGTAAAATCTGTTTACAAAAATTCACATACGTAAAAAGTAAAAAATCGGGCGTTTAATAGAAAAAAAGGTTCCTTCACACTAACGCGAAAGCACCAAATAAACTAACTGATACCCTACCTCGGATCTAATTCCATCGTTTAGCACGAGCTGGTTGTTCGCGTAATACCGTGCGGAGCCTGGTCCTTCAACGCAGCCAAATTCGTGTCCTAAACGCTTTGAATTTTCTTACCGAGAGAGATACCAAAAAGAGCCACGAGTTCCCTATTATTTTGATGCTGCTGAGGGTAGGGGCAAAGCTGGGCCCTAGGTAAATCTTCGAATAGAAAACCGAATTATAACCTCAAAGAAAACGGCTGTTTGTGACAGGCAGCTGTGAGGAATAGTAGAGCCGCAAATAACCAAAACATCGACTGAGGCCCACAAGTGCCATCGCCATCCTTGGCAAAGCCAGGATGAGAGTGAGCCGAGAAGAGGATGAGGGAGAGAGTCATCCTCCCGTACTCTATCCCTCCCACTATCTCCCCTCGATTCACATGCAGCGCGCGTTTTCTCCCTTTCCGCACGCGAATCCTTGGCGGAGTTTCGTGCAACCGTGTACCTCAAACCTTGCGGTTAACCTTGTTTGTTGCCTGCTCTGTTTCGAGTGGCGCGGCTGCCGGCGCGGTAACGCCCTCTGGCACGGCTGCCGGCACGATGGCACGGTTGCCGGCGAACTAAAATTCGGCGCGGCTGCCGGGCCAGCTTTCGGCACGGTTGCCGGCGCAGCGCGGACGGGGGTGGTGGAGGCCAGCTTCGGCACGGCTGCCGGCGCGGTATTGGGCGCGGCTGCCGGCACAGCTGTACGGCACGCCTGCCGGCAGACCACTGTCGCGGAGCCGCAACGCGCCATAACTTAGAAAAATTTCGGCCTGGCGCTAAGTATTTTTTTATCATAATAATTCTTCAAGACTTATTATATTGCCGCATTTCTGTCATCTTCAAGAAGGAATAGGCACTACGCCATCAGCTACGCGGTTTCTAGCTTACTAATAGGTACAACTTGTTTGTTATACGCTCGAGATTTCAGCACGGCGTCTTAGGCCTTACTTGGAGCGCGCACGGGGGAACGGGAGGGACTGGGCTAGGCCACGCCCCATTTTGGTCCCCAAAATGTATGGGAAAAAGCTTTCTAAAGGCTATAACTTTTTTTCGAAAAAAAATTAGAAATGTTCCGCCTGGCGATCGATAGAGAAGACTATAGGGAACATTTTAGTCAAAGAATTTGGGCGATCGCCGGGAAAAATAAGGACTTGAAACGTTTTGAAGCAAAAATCAAGATTATTTTCTGATTCGGCCTCCGGGCCGCCCCATCTGTTTAATTTTCTACCTGGAATTCGCTAAAGATTTGTTGTCGGTGCCTTTCAGAAACTTGTGCAAAAAAGCAAAACGGTGTCGCGTGTTTATGCGAGGGGAGGAATCGAACCAGGACCCCGCGCCTGTCACTCCGACCGCCGCCTTAGACCACTAGGCCATGCCCGTCCCCACCCCCCGTGCGCGCTCTAAGACACCGTGTCAGGTGAAACCTTTAGACGACAAGTATGAGGCAAGAAAAGTCCAACAGCATGCTTCATGGTCGAAGAACTGACTGAATTGATGATATCTAGCAGGTACATCGCTAATCAGTTTAGATAGCAGCTTTTCGACCGGCAATCCTGTTCGGTAACTTATTTACATTGTAAATATGGATATTTGTCCCATGTTACAAACCACGATTGTTTGGTGGGTATAATTTACCATTTTTTCAGGCACTGAACCCGAAGTGGCGCTTTTCTGACGCTAGAATTAGTTTTTCAATGTTGAGGGATCCACTAGACAAGCTGCAAAGACTGCAAGAAGAAAGTAAGTCGTTTTGAACTGCTTGAGCAATCATTGAATAGAATCTAGTTACTAGGCCAACACTACAAGATGCTCGGCACGTCTATCGTCACGTTTAAGCGTAAGTTCACCAAGAAAAAGACTGGCTCCGATTTCTGAACAATTGAAAACCAAAGAAACCAACTAATTTAGTTATTACTGCGGCTTCCGTTTCAACTACGCGACGGTGACGGCGATATGCTTCAATCACCACTTAAACGCAATAAAAAAGAATAAGCATGGCGTTTTTATATGCCGGAAAATAAGCGTAAAGTGTGCCGGCAGCCGTGCCACAGCTATTTTCGGCCCAGTTGCCGGCGCGACATTCGGCAGCAGTGCCGAAAGTGTGCTGGCAGCCGCGCCACTCGAAACAGAGTGTACGGACCCTGAGGACGCATAGAAATCTCTTTTATTGCTTCTACAGATACAGATATCTACATCGCGTTTCAGTTCTAATCCACAAGCTACTCCTTACAAATACCAGGCATAGAGAGACATTTGACAGGAATTCGAAACGGGGAACGGGTTTATCACAAATGAGCGCTATAGGAATGTTTTAGGACAGGTGTGGGGGAGGGGTCTCTGTTCGTCTTCTTTTTTTTCTTCGGCACGGGTATGGATCGTTTACGGCAGGTGGAGATGAGGGGATATTAACAAATTGACAATCATAAATAGAAGCCGGCGGAACATCGCGAGGCGGACGAACGAGCACGGGGTCTAGTCGAAGAATTTGCGGTTCTGGTTGGGCCCGAAGAGAGCGGTGCGAACTTGAGGCACGATCTGAAAACAAAAATAAGTTGTTTTAACGCAGCGCGCCGCCTAGGCTAAGAATCGGGTGCTTTAGCGTTATCGGAGGTGGAGGCTAATTCTTTTCCCAGGAATCACGACGTAGGTAGTAGCATAAAAGAAAGTTGTCTTGAGTCTTTGGGTAAAATGTAATTTTATGCCCAGTGGAAAAATTAGCAAGAAACAGAAAATATCCCTAGCAACAGAACATTATTTTTAACCGTCTTTCAGCCACATTTAGCAGGAGGATTTCAGGAGGAAAGCTATCTTTTCCTGATTTTAATCAATTACTGTGAAGTTTCTACGTTAGCTAATAGTAAAACCTTTTAGAAACACTTCCTCTATCCCCATTCAAACAATCGGATCCGTCGAAAAACTTTGTAGCCCCCGATAGTGCAAAAGCGCCAAAAAGCGAAAACACAAATGCACCCTCGCGTAGGCGAAAACCACCGCAGTCGCCTGGTTAGCCAATCCAAATAAGCTCACCTGGTTAGCGATCAGGTCCAAGCGGCTTTCTAGGGTCGACGAGACCTTGATCTTGCCTCCCTTTGCGCTCACTTCGACTCCTCCAGCCGACTCCGATGGCAAGTAGTGCTGGCGATCAACGTTGACCTGAACCAATTATATAAACTGCAAATCCGGACAAGAAAAAAGCACAGTGCAAGGCTAGGCTCAAACAAATACCTTTGATCGTTTGCCCCACTGCTTTTCCAAGGCGTCCAGGCATTCGGGAAGAAGCTGATCAACCTGATAGAAGGCTATCAAATAACCGTGCAAAGAGATACCAGGTGCTCATCTTGCTTTCGGCAGCGCAGCGTCAGCTCGTTCTCCAGCATTTGAAGGAGAGCCTAAAAAGAGGCAATAAGATGGAGATACATCCCAAAAAATACCTGCATGACGAGTCCCTTGAGAATCGACGGGTAGCGAGCGGTGTCGCCTGAGATCTTTGAAAGGTTGGCCTTCGCCTCCTCGAGCACGTTGTGAAGATGGTCTTCGCGGGCCTAAAAACATAAAGTAAGCAAGATTGATCAAAAACAAACCTTCAGGCACATCAGACGGCCGGCGTTCAGCGAGTTGGAGCTCTGGATTTTGCGCTGGAGCTCGACCTGCTTCTCCTTCTTCTCGTAGAATTCCATGATCTTTGTTCGTTGCTGCTGAACCAGACGTCCCTGAAAGCAAACGCATAGAAAAAGTTGAAAGGCATTTTGAATACCTTCTCAATGTTAAATTCCTCCTCGGCCTTGGCGTCGATCTCTTCGGCCTTCTCGTTGGCCTCCTGCTCGATGAAGGCCATCATGTGGCGCAGCTGCTTCTGCACATCGTTGTCCGAGATGCCCATGTTTGCCGGTTCCTGAAAATAATTAGTTTTGCCAAGGCCGAATAGTTTTCAAAAACCAAAATTTTGAAAGGAGGATCAAGCGAATGCGCCAAGAGAAAATACACCCCGGCCAGAACAGTAAGAGCCTTAGTAGAAAGCCGTAAATTGACGCTTTGACTAGTAAAATTTGCCAGGAAACCAATTCAGCGATGAAAAGCTAGTCAAATTTCAGAGAAATGGATAGAAAAGCCACACGCCCACCAGGCGAAACAATTGACAAAATGGTCACGGCCGAAAGAAAAACCAATTTCGTCGACAAAGTTAACTGTGTGAAGCACATGGGGAATTTGTGAGTTTTCCGGTGACCAAGCGAAGCCGGGACCCCGGGGGAGGAGATCAACGACCGGCGGATCGCTCAATATTCAGACTTTGGTTCGGCGCCGCTTCCACCCACCGGGCGGCCGTGTCGAGACAGGGGGTTGTCCCTCTCTTCCAGCACCGTAGAGGGGCGAATGTTGTCCGCATGCGAGTGCCTAGAGAAGGGAATAAGCGGTTAGACAACCAATGGGAGGGCAAAAGTCCTTAGTATCGATAAAGTCGCGCTTCTTACTGAAAATAATGAAAAATCAACAGTTTCAAAAGACAAACACAACCGCCACACACTAGTTCTGCCGCGGCAGGACCAGTTTTTGGAGCAATTAGCAAATGTCGCAAGGCTTTCTAATTATAAAACTTATTTTAAAATATGAAATGATATCTAGTAAGTACTAATTTAGCGTTTCTAGAATACTTTTAGGCAAAAAGAGCAGTATTTTATAACTGTTTGTTTTTAGCAACCACAACTTCCGATAAAAATGAAAGAATCCGGGGCATCTTCATTTTTGCATTCGCGCCCAATGAGATTCCAGCACTAATAGTAACCGCGTCAATGTTCTTACACGGACTAATATAAAAATAAAAACTATACATATTTGTAAACAGAAATACTTCTGAAGTTGCTACCAAAAAGTATAACTCACGTCGATTCACAAGCACCCATCAGCGCTCGCGGCACAATCACAAAATGAGCCCACATGCCGCTCCCAAACCATGGCGAAATGCATGCAAATTATAGCTTATCTTAATTTCCTTCCGTTTACATTTCTTGTTGCAATTTTAAAGTGTAGGATTGTCTTTTTAGGGGATGAAACCTCTCATCATCCTGCTGGTGCTGTTCGGCCTGGTCGCCAGCTCAGGGATCTCCTCATCAGTGATTGACTTGAATGAGAAGTTCCTGGATGTGAAAGACGATGGATTCTGGTTTATTAAGGTTGGTATTATTGTAGCGTTCTGAAAGAATTATTTGTTCCAGTTCTACGCTCCGTGGTGCGCCCACTGCAAGAAGTTGGCGCCCGTCTGGGAACATGTCGGCCATGCCATGACAAATATGGTTGGTTACTGATTGTTTACTATTACCATTTCTTCAGGCACAACCGATCAGGATTGCAAAGGTCGACTGCACGCGCTTCCCCTCGGTTTGCCAGGAGCTCCACATCCACGCATACCCTACCCTCGTCTTGTAAGTCACCTTGCGCTCAAGTTTATCATCTTTTACAGCTTCCGAAATGGTAAGACATTCAACTATGAGGGCGAACGACGGAAGGAATCGATGGTAGACTATGCAATCAAGGCGGCCGCCCCCTTGGTTCAAGACATCAAGGATATGGTGATGCTCAACGAGGTGATTTTCTTGTTTTTCGCTAAAACGCCGTATTTTCAGATTCGCCAAAAATCACGGGATGATCCCTCATTTGCCTTCATCGACTATGAAACGATTGGAGATGACGAGCAGCTGAAGGTTCTTCGGGATGACTTCGATTTGGCGGCTGAGACTTTGTTTGGAAAAACGCGCTTTTACAAGGTATATTGTTAAACAGCTGGGCACGGTTGAGAGTTCATTTTAGATTCGGCACTCAATTGTTCCCACCGAACTTCGCGAAGAAAACGATGCTCGCGTCGTCGCGTTCAAGGATGCGCCACCGACACTATTCCGGGGTGTTCCTGGTAAGGAGATAAATGCTATCAACATCTCTCCTAGATGACCTTCACAAGTGGATCCTTGGCAACAGGTGGCCATTGCTACCGCAAGCTATCGGTTGGTACAGCTTTTGATTCTTTTACTATTTTTTAGGCCCAAATATTGCCGATCTCTCGTCGGGTGGAAAGTTGTTGGTCCTGCTGGTGCTTGCCGAGACCGAAAAGGGCACCCCAACGTCAGCTGTTTCCAAAATGTATCAAGAGGTTGTTTTCGCGGCGCCGGCCTTTTATTGCCATTTCTAGGGGTTGGAAGCGGCTCGTCTTGTGCGTGAAGACAAGGAATTGAACGATCGCTACCAGTTTGCGTGGCTTGATGGCAATGATATTGCTAATAATATTGTGATGGGAACGATTGAAATACCCGGTTTGCGTTTTTAAGGAGGCGATTATTTCCATTTAGATATATTACTCTTTAATTACACGTCCTACGAATACTACCTGAACACCGACGCCGGAAACCGAATTACAGCAAAGTCCATCGTTGAATGGCTGAGGCAAATGACAGGCGAAGGTAGCTATTGCCTAATCTAGCAGTGAACATGCTTTTTCAGATATCCAACCACTTGGTGGACGCGGAATGATCCAACGGACCAAGCGGATATTCTACGAGGTGAGCTAAAGATTTTGGAAAAATCTTTCTCAGGTTTTCACCCAGGTACACAACATGTTCGCCACGCAACCCCTGCTCACCACGTGTCTCTTCGGGGTCCCGATTGCCTTCCTTTCGATCATCTGTTATTCGATATGTTCGGCAGACTTCTCCGTCGATAGGTATCGCATTTTCGATTCGTAGAATACATACCAAAAAATCCGCTCTACCTAGTGGGCCGCAGACGCTGCCGATTCTTACGATTTAGCTATCCATCGAAAGCTCGCGGAGCTAGTGCGCATCTTTGATTTTTGAAACTTTGCAATTGTCCTTAAATTTTTTTAGAAAAATCACAATTTATGCATTTTTGAGCCTTTGCTGACAGCCAGTCGACAGTTGTTTCAAAGTTATTTAGTAAAACGCCGCTTGGATGGCGCTGACGCCGGCGAAACTGCTTTTTTGGAAAAAACATGACGCTTTTGCACGAAAAATGCCGGAATTTCGAAAATCGGAGAGAATTTCTGGGCTCGCCTTGCCGAGAGCTTTCTATAGATAGCTAAATAGTGAAAATCGGACATGGCTGCGGTCCGCTACAGAGGAGTGGGGATTTTTTTGGTACACTCTTTATTTTATCTCATTCAGAGATGAAGTCTACCCGGATAGCGAGTTCTCAGACGAGGGTGATGAAGAGATTGACGGGCGCCACAGCGAAGACGAAAACTCACCGATTGACCCCTCGCACGCGAAATCCGAATAGGCCTATTCGCTTCCATTTCTATCAACGATCCAGTTTTCCCAATAGTAACACGACTGGAGGTTCGACCTAGTCCATCCATTCCCGACGGTTATTTTACAGTTTGCTCACGTTCAGTGTTTGATGACCTGTTGATTGTACTAATTATTCTCCGATCTCATTTTGCTGTCTTTTGAATCATGGTATTTGCCAACCCGACACCCGTATGCCATTAAATCCTTCAACCCACCGGCAGCGTTTTTGAAAAAAGACTACATACAATGGACCGCTTTTATTCATGAGAAGCTGGTGCTAATGCACTTGGGGGGGGCAGTCCCGATTTTGACTACAAGACGCTCCAAATGCCGTTTTTTAAACTCGAAGCCTCTGGAAAAGCTAAGTCAAGCCTAAGCCTAGGCTTAGCTTCATAAAAACGAAGTCTAAGCTTAGCTGGAGCCAAGCTAAGCTTAGCTCTAAGCTTAGTCCTAAATGACCCCATTTTGACCACCTAAGGCAATTTAAAGCTCAAGTTAAGCTTAGCTTGGGCTTAAGCTTAAGCCTAAGCCTAAGCTAAGCTTAGTTAAAGCTAAGTTAAGCCTAGGCTTAAGCAGAAAACCAAGTAGCTTAAGCGGAGCGTCTCGTAACCCCTTACTACCAATTTCGGACTGCCCCCCCCTAACTGCATTAGCACCGAGAAGCTGATTGGTACTGGGCTACTAACAGGGGGGATTAGCAGAGACGAAACCAAATGCTTACCGGTATTCCTCCACGGTCCTAAACACAAATTATAGCCCATCTCTATGGCATTTTACACACTTTAGTAGCAGGATAATTATTTTAGGGCTACTTCGGGCTCAGTACGACCGGAAGCCATGTCTCCTTCGCTAATAATATTCTTTGTCAGTCTGATGCATGGCGGAAGCTTAAGTTTCTGATAGCCCGCTTTTAGAGAGGCTTTGACAAGCGGTGGGAGGATGAGTCAGCCAGCCAACCCCTCAAATATGCACCAACGATAAGGGCCTCGTCTATTCTCGCCCGTCCATCGATTCCAACGCCTCTACTTTCGGTACAATGCTGACTGTAAAGCAAGTGGCGTTTTGTATGCTGCTGACTCTTCCAGGTTGGTGTTTTTTTGCGCTGCTGCGGTACTTATGTCGGTAGACTTTGGTACTAGGCCATTAGCGGGGGTCTAACTTTGGCGCATCGCTCCGTAGTGGCCAATAATGCTCTAAACACCAGTTACGTAGCTTTTTTGCGTCCATTGTCGTGTAGAAAAACACATAAAATTTATTTGATCTGCGAAAAACTTTGATTTTTTTGGTTAGAAATGTATAACATTGGTAAAAAAATTGTTTTATACTTTTTAGGAAACAAAAAATCTAGTAAAAACACTAGAAAAGACAGTAGAAAACGCTAAAAATTCTGCCAGTTTTGCTTTTTACAGAACAGAAATAGGCTAGGTGCCTTTCATCCCGCTGCCCCCCCGTTAACAGTTTAGTGCCTAAAATTCCCGCTGGATTTCAGTCCATTATAAGGCTACTTCCAGTTATTGCTGCTCTAATATGTGAGACCTGCGACGGGGAAAGCTGTTCCGAGCCGGATAGATGGGTGCAGTTGTTGTGCTCGGGCGAAACCCGGTACTGCTATCGACTGGTGGATCAGGGTGATCAGGGTTGGTTCACTCTGACGTTCACTCTAAACATAGTATACTATCTCTTAATTATAACTAGGTTATCCTTAATCCTACCCAAATCATGTTTAGTTTACCGCCGTGGCTGCACGGCGTTGAATTGTACAATGATGCCGGGGATCTCTGTCGGATCGACGTGCAACGTCTGCGACAGCGACAAGTGCAACGGGAGAAAAGTTTGTGTTTTCAGCGTTTTTTTCCTTATGTCGAGATCGGCCTAGTAACGCATTTGGATTATTTAATTGTGTTTCCAATAAATTTATAGGTACTGTAGGTTTTTAGGCCCTCCACAAAATATAAAGCTTTTTAGCGAGTTTTAGACAGATTTTAGATAGAAATAAAACATAACAAAATTAAAAAAACAACCATTTTAATCAAAAAACTTAAAATAAATATTTAAATAATACTTCTAATTGCTTTCTAGCAATCAAAAACGAATAAAAAAACTATAAAATACAACGCATTGTTAACAAGTAGGTAGATGTAGGGCAAACATAAAAATTATTTAAATTAAATTAGTAATTAGTTAATTTTGTTCAGTAAAAGTGTAAAATTGAGCCTTTGTGTCGCTTTCGCCATTAGCCAAATGCAAAAACCAAAAACATTTAGCCGATCCGACAAACAAGCGCGGGCGGTGGCGATGTTTGGGGCTCGACGGGCTCAACACTGGATCTACTCTCCTCTGTGATACTCTGCATTCTGCCGGTGCTTTTTGTGCAATAAACATTTGGTCTCGTCTACATAAGATACATTTATTGGCTAGTGGTCGGCAGGGGGCTCGTGGAAAGTGTGGTGGCGACCGTGGTCGTGGAGCCGATCTGTGAATTGCGATTTGTTTCCAATTTTTCATTTTTTCCGCTGTTTACCCAGAAATGCGCAGTATCGTAATACTAAATATTTTAGTCGTGTTTTTAGTAATGCTTAACCAATTTCAAGCGCAAAAACAATCTAAAAAGTTCGAAAAACTGCTGAAAATATGAAATTTGCTCCAAAACCGGCCATTTTTCGTGGAAAAATCGGTATTTTTATATTTTTTAATAAAATTTTGTACGTTTGCAAGCTTATGAATAGTAAAAAATAATTTAGAGAAAGCGCACACTAGCCCTACCTTTCCCGAGACGGCAACGATGGCTACGGCGCCACCGATCATCGCCAGCCAGGCGAGCCAGTAGAGGCCGAAGAAGAAGTATCTGAAACGTTTCTTACAGCTACTTTCTGGTCCGTCTACCTGACGTTTCGCCAAAACGGGTCGTTACGGTACATCTCCAATTCCTCGCGGCTTAGGCCAACTTTGCGTGTCGTGACATCCTAAAGCGCGAATCATTCCAGGCTTGAATTCCGGGGTTTAGGGTCCTAGATGTAAAGTTTGTTGTTGGATTTTGGTATTATGGATTTCGCTTATATGGTGGAAAATTCGGATCCGGTTTTTTTGCACAGACTGAAATCCAAAAATTCGATCGACCGTTCGAATACCGAAATTTTCGGCGGTATTTTGAGGTTTGAGGTCGATGCGGTTGTGGATTTTTGGGTTGTTTTTTTTGACGAAACGGTCTTATAATTTGCTCCCTTGATATTTGTATTATACTCCTCAGCGTGATAGATTTCCGTGACGTGGTCGGAAATGGTTTTTAGAAAATTTCAACAAACTCACGACAGGCTTCTCCGGAATACTGGTGCTGCCAGCCGCGTTGCTTTCGCTATCCCAAGGTTCCATCCTCTAGAAAAAAGTTTAAAATTTTTTTCAACGCGTTGCAAGAACGATCAAGATCGAAAATTGATGGATCGATTGGATTTTTTGGCTGAAGTGCAGTTTACCCCCCTTCCCCCCCTCCCCGCCCAGCCGACCCGCGCCCACCGTATCTCGGCCGCCTGTTCATCTACAGGTGTGTAAGTATACGAAAATACTCGTAAGAGCAAGACGAACATTTTGGTATACTTTACACACCTGTAGATGAACAGGCGGCCGAGATACAAAAGTTGGGGGCGCTGGGGGGGGACTGCACTGAAAAATGTGGCTAAAAGGAAAAGGTAGGAAAAAGGTAGACTTAATTAATGTAGATGACGTCGAAAGAAGAAGGATTTTCGCAGTCGCGCTGGATCCAAAAACTCGCGCTGATAAGCGAAAGCGAGCAAAAAAAGAGGTGGGATCAATGAGCGCGGTGGCCAAATCTGGGGTGGGGAGTGCGTTTGCTGATGTGATAAGAGGGGGGACAGGACGGACAAGAAGCCCCGCAGGAACCGGCCCTTTATTCAGCACTCGGGCAAAGACGTTTTTACTGAATACATTTTTCCGGCTGAATTTTACAATAAAGCATAAAATGGGCTCGATTTGTATGAAAACATAAAATATCGATAACGATCATAGAATTTCGACGAAAATGGTCGGACTTCTCAAAATTTAAAAGCTTTTTGACGGTTTTCTAAGTAATTTTCCCGACTTGAAAAATAGCTAATTTTATCAAAACCCAAAAAAAGAAATGGAAAAGAAAAGAAAGCCTTTAAAAGATCGGTTGTTTTTAAACTTATTCGGTGCTTTCAGAAACAATTTTAAATTAAGCTTTGGGTTATTTTAAATGGATTTTGAAGGATTTAAAGGAAGGCTTAAATATTCAGTTGTATGATCCATAATTCACAGAAAAATAAAGTTTAAAAGTTCCATAAACAAAAAAAAACAAAAGCTCCAAAAACAGCAAAATTCGAGACGGCCCTTTCAAAGGAAGAAAAATTCAAAACGAGGTATCCAAGAAACGGGGGCAGCCCGAAAAAGGGAAGGCATCGGAAATGAGTTAGGCACTGAAGCCTGATTCTTCTCTTTTTTCTTACGCGAGAGATGTTCTGGGTACTTTTCGAATAGCTTTTAACTTTGAGAGAACATCAAATCGTAGAACGCGGAACCGTCTGAATAAACATTTTGTGAAAAGGATCGACCGGGGCCGGGCGGATGATTCGGCGCCTTTCACCGTTGCTTTTTCATCTTTGGCTGCCTGCCTAGCGCAGTAGCGGACTGGCACGATTTTGCGAGTGAGGGAGCGAGAGAGAGAGAGAGAGAGAGAGAGAGAGAGACGAAAATTAGTTAAATGGCTTCTGCTTACCCGTGCTTGTCAGTAGTAAATTTGGGGGTTGCCGCGGCAAACAGCTGGTTTCGGATGGGCCATAAAAAGTCGAATCTGGGGCCGTTTTGGGGTAATTATACAGGAAAACGGTTGTTGTTACTGAGATGTACCAGATTTTGCGAAAAATACCCTGCTAGCTGGCGAAAAATGTATCGAAACAGATAGCTTCCGAGAGACAGGACACTGTGGACACGTGCGAGCCGGTGAAGCGAGAGAAAGAGAGAGAACGACAGAGAGAGAGAGAGAGAGAGAGAGAGAGAGAGACGTGTCACAATTTCTTCATGTCGCTGCCCCCTTAAAAGTTCAAGATTCAAATCTTTTTGCTAACCGCCATCTCCCAGCTGTTTCCCCCAAGCCCGTTTTCGGCATTTGTATTGGCCCGGAAACGGGGCCCGGCAAGTGCCCTCTTTCGGAAATCCTCATTAGATCCGCCCGGGGAATCTGATTGTCCCCGGCAGATGGAGAAGCCGACGGGAGCATTCTCTCTTTTCAGCCCTGCCCTTCATCGCCATACCTTCACTTCTCCTAAAATTTGGTCATATTCTGGCCGGGAGTTGGCAGCGAGTGTTTTTCTCGTTTTTTTTGTCATAGCGTAAGCAAAGGCAAAGCTACGCTAAGCCTAAGCCTAAGTCTGAGCTTGATCCTTAGGTTCAGGAATGGGTTAGAGTGCAGTTTACCCCCCAGCTTTAACTTTTCAGCCATACGTCCTATTAATGCGCCGAGTATCTCAAAATGTTCGCCGTGGTGGAATTACTAGAAAAAGTTGTTTTCTTGCGGCAAAAATTTCTTAAAAATTTTTTACAAGATTTTGAAAGTTGAAAAGATTAAGCCGCTATGCTTCGATGTACTAGGAGTCTAAAACTCAAATATTTTTATTTTTCGCTATTTTTCGGCTCAAACGTACTGTAGGCTTATTCTCCAGAGCAAGAGCTACATTTTGGTACTAGTGACAGCTCTGTACGTCAAAGATAGCCGAGATACGAAAACTCACTTTGGAACAGCAAAAATTAACTAAAGAAAACCCAGACTTATAATTGTTATAAAAATTTTTCTAACAATTTTTGATGTAAGAAAACAACTTTTTTATAATAATTCGACCACGGCGAACATTTTGATATATTCGGCGCATTAATAGGACGCATGGCTGAAAAGTTAGGGCTGGGGGGTAAACTGCACTTAAGCCCAGGAATGTTGCTTTAAATATGAGTGGTGCTCAAGTCTGGGCCAATGGCCCACAAACCTATGTAAGCCCTACGAAGCTGCGCCTAAGCTAAGGCAGCTAAACTCAAGCTGACCTAAGCCTAAGCCCAAGCCTAAACCAAGGCCCTTGCCCTGCCACTTCCTTCAAAAATGGCATAATCATGCCCGTCACCGCCCATCAAAATATTTATCGCCCCCCATCGCGGCTCATAATTCGCCTCATTTCGCGCCCCTTCCCGAATTTCCTCGGCTTCATTTTGTGAATATCTCCCCCTGGTTGGCTTGCTGGGTGCTTGTTCATCATTATCTCAGCCCCGGGCCGGAGAGAGTTTTTCCAGGGACTACGCCATAAAATATGGACGTTGCTTCCGTAATGGGATATTTCTATGATTACGCCTTTTCATTTTTTAAGTAAGCTATGGAGTTATTTGCTCATTTTGCCGTCGCTGCCCCTTTAATTCGATTATTTTTCGGGTCCCGGCCGTGTGAATATCCCGGCAGGGTTTCATATATCTAGGCCGCACTCTCCCTAGTCCTTTTCTTAGACTTGTTATTTTTGGAAGGGCTCCAGGAGAGAGAGAGAGAGAAAGAGAGACAGAGAGAGAAAGAGAGACAGACAGAGAAACACATAGTCATAAGCTAGCCGGAGCTGCCGACAGCTGTCCAGACCCTTCGGCTTCCCCTCGAAATGTCCATTTCCTCCCGCCGGCGCCCCTCACATGATTTTGTCGATCATGTGTCGATTTTTGGGCTTTAAAAAGGGAATTTAGATTTATTGAGATTCCCTAGGAATCTCTGCTAGTTTCTGCTACATTACAGGGCAACCTCTGTAAAAGAAGACCAGGTGAAGCTTGTTTAGTAGTTTTTTGTAAACTAAATAATTTTAGTAATTTAGTAAATAAATAGACATAGATTTTCAGTCGATAATTCTTGCGAGGCAAGCTAGCGGAGGTTATTTGACAATTTTGGGGGAGAGGCAGGCTAGCAGGGATTCTTTGCTCACTTTTTCCTCCTGGCAAACTAGCAGAGATCCTTTGCCAGATTCTTAGCTGAGGAAGACCAGCAGCAAGCCTTCTCCGCTTTTCAGACAAGACAGGCTAGCAGAGATTCTTTACCAACTTTTCAGCCTCGACAGACTAGCAGGGATTTTTTATCCTCTTTATTATAAGGGTAAGCTAGCAAAGATCCCGTAAGAAAAACCGTCTTTAGGAGTCCCTTTACCTTTCCCCTCCCCTCATGGCTCTCCTCTTTTGGTCGTTTATGTGGGATTGATGGCCGTTGGGAGGCCAGTGGCCCTTTGCCATTCCTTCGACCCCTTCGGGCCCACGTCCCGATTTGCATGTGTTGGTCGTTGCTTTCCCCAGTCTTTCTCGACGCTCCTCACCTCGTTTTATGCTCTTTATCTTGGGCTTCTTCGGCCGAGATTCAATTTTTGGCCCTTCGAATGGACCTTTTTTCCAGCACTATCCTCCGGACGGCGTTGGGGGCTTCATCTTATTGTGGTTCCGAAAAGGAAAAGGTTTGGTATAAATTTCCGGCAATCCTGCACTCGCGCGTATGCTCTCTCTCTCTCTCCCTCTCTCTCTCTCACTGGCTCTCTGGCTTCTGGCTCTCTCTTTCTCGGCCTCCCTTTCTTTAACTATCCCTCTCTCTCTCTCTCTCTGTCCCACTCTCGCCCCCTCGCTCTCACCTTCTTACGCTCTCAGACTCGTGCTCTCTCTCGTTCCCTCGCTCTTTTACTCTTTTTCACTAGCCTACTTTCTTTTGCGCTTTAGTTCTCTAATTCAAGCTCCGTAACCATCTCTCTCTCTCTCTCTCTCTCTCTCTCCATCGCTCTCTCGCTCGCTCTCTCTCTGGCTCTATCTCTCTCTCGTTTTGACTATCTCTCTGTCTCTGTCTCTCTCTCCCTCTCTCTCCATCTCTCTCTCGCTCGCTCTCTCTCTCTCTCTCTCTCTCTCTCTCTCTCTCTCGTTTTCACTATCTCTCTCTCTCTGTCTCTCTGTCTCTCTCTGTCTCTCTCTTTCTCGCGATAGATGGGGCAGCCTAGCAGAAACCTTTGTGGAAATCCGTCTTCAGGCCGTGATGTCCGAGCATGAGCCAATATGATCTGCCATACCACTGCTTTCTCGACACCGTCCATGTCAAGGTATTTGAATTTCACTGGCTTAACCTAAAAACCTGCAGATTAAGGCAAGCTTGCAGGTATTTTGTGTGGATTCAAAAGTCCGACGTTTTTTCAGCGCGTGTTCCCGGTGGTGGTGGGCTATCATGTTGTTACCAGCCTCTTCTTCAGCTACATCTTTGTCCCGCACGCCCTGCTCGTCACTCTCCCAGGTGCATTATAAGGGTTTTAGGCGCTAGTAGGTATTTAATAAGGTGCAGGTGGATGGCAAACTTGCAGAGACTCTTCCGGAAAGCCCAGGCACACAGGGGGAGGCTAGCAGTGATCCCTTGAGGAAAGAAAGCTTTTGGCACCCTCACATTTACAGCCATAATCGTCTGTGCCCTGGCCGTCGTCGCCTTCACCAAGCGTATACCAAATTTGCTGCTGCCTTTTCGGATCTACGTGGTAGCTCCTGCCTTGCGGGTCCCTTTAAAAAGAGTCCGTTTCAGTACTTCTCCATCTTTTTCCTGCTCTTCCTCGGTGCCTACATGTTCTTCATCAGCATCTTCAACAAGGAGAAGCATGAATGTGGGTATTAAGCCGTACCAGCTTACCCTTTTGGAGCAGGAGCCTAGCCTCATCTTAATTCTGACTAACTAGGGAAGTGCAAATAAAAAACCCAGCAAACCGCTTAGCAAAAATATGGGTCTGATAGAGTCGGCGACGGGGATTCCGAAACTGCAATCAAAATTTGCTAAACGCTTAATACAAAATAGTTATGAGTATTTTAAGTTTTGCACTAGGTTGTCCGCTCTCCCTTATGAGCCCCTCCCAAAGATGGGTGTCCGCCTGTCGAGTGGTGTAGTGGCTAACTAGCATGCCTCTGGGGCGGATGGTCTCTGGTTCGACTCCCCGGTCATGCAAAACTTTTTGCTTTTTGGTCAAAGTCAACAACTTTAGACTTTTTCAAAGTTTCGAAGCCCGAAATCTAGATTTTTTAAAATTTTCTTTTTTATTGACTGCGTGTAGGCCTGCCTTACGAAAAAATAGAAGTGAATTTTTAGTGCCCTATCCGCAAGAGTACTGGCACTCCCGCCACCACTTTGCAATCGGTTTCATGAATTTAAAAATTAAGAGAACGACCTTTTCGACTTTGAAACTTTGAAAAAGTCTAAAGTTGTTGACTTTGACCAAAAAGCAAAAAGTTTTGCATGACCGGGGAGTCGAACCAGAGACCATCCGCCCCAGAGGCATGCTAGTTAGCCACTACACCACTCGACAGGCGGACACCCATCTTTGGGAGGGGCTCATAAGGGAGGGCGGACGATCCCCGTCGCCGACTCTATCAGACCCATATTTTTGCTAAGCGGTTTGCTGGGTTTTTTATTTGCACTTCCCTAGTAAGCAGGAGTCTGAGACTAAGCCTAAGCCCTAAGCTAAGCTAAGGTAAGCCTAAGGCCCACGCCTAAACCTAAGTGCAACCGAAGCCTAAGCCCAAACCTAAGCCTAGCGCAATCTAAGCTTAATCCTAAACCTAAGTCTATTAAGCCTAATCCTAAGCCTAAGTCCAAGCCGAAGCCTAAGCTGAATTCAGGGATCGCCGAGTCGTTGTTCTCGCCCAGCGTCGAATTCTTTTCGATTGCCTTCCACTTGGTGTCGAACCTGGCGACGTTGCTCGCCATGTGGCAGCTCTCGCTAATTTCCACGACTGCCAAGTACTTGCGACATCTTCAGCAAGGTCAGTACGATCGAGTCAATCGGTCGGCAGACGTACACTTTGCGTATCGTTGCGCTTTTTAACTTTGCGCTGCCCTTAATGCGTAGATTTTCCAGGTTCCGATACCGTGACGTTGTCGCTACCACCGGTGAACGATCCGATGTCGGCGGTCCTTGTTTAAATTTCAAGATTGCACCGATGAATAAAACCGCTCAATTTTATTTAAATTGTATAGTAATGCCGGATGATTTGGCGCACGCGTTGCGGTGCGTATCGCGATGCGGTTTTGTGCGCTGTAGTTCACGCCGCGCCTACTGCGTTGCGTATCGCGGTGCATCTCACGTCAGCGCTGCACGTTCCGTTGCGGCTCTGTGCGTTGCGTATCGCGCTGCGTGTTGCGTTGCCGTTCTATGCGTTGCTTGTTGCGTAGCGATTTTCTGCGTTACGTCGTCTACGTCTTTGTCTATGAAATCGCAGTTCTATGCGTTGCGTGTCGCGTTGCGTGTCGCGTTGCGTGTCGCGTTGCGTGTCGCGTTGCGTTTCGTGTCGCCTTGCGCGTCGAGTGGCGTCTGGCGTGGCGTGTCGCGTTGCGTTTCGCGTCGCGATTTGGCGAGTACCGCATTCTGTCAAAAAACGTTAAAATCTGTTTATCAAAGCATTTAGATAATTCTCAAAGCGTTCGCTGTGATTATGGACAAATCGGGTACCCGCGGGTCGAATTTCAAAGGGAGGAAACTGGGCAAAGCGATGGTAGAATGGCCTTGGGGGAAATTGGGATGATAGATAGATAGATAGAGAGAGAGAGAGAGAGGGAGAGAGAGAGAGAGAGAGAGAGAGGGAGCAACGCTCCCTTCATAGCCTCTTAAAATTTTCGCGAAAAATTATGCAAATCACCAAAAAAAGCACTCGGGTTGAAGCTCGGAATGGGGAAGGAAAAGGGAGGAAACCTATAATTCGGGGAGCAACATCACAATGTTGAGCATCCACATACACTCTAGATCATACAATTTGACGCGTTCGGCTACGAATAATAGTTCTGGTTCTTTTTATGGTTGTCGTAGTTCTGCTTCTCGGCGTCCCACGCAGCACCCGTATTCTCGTCTGTAATTTGCGCTCGTAAATCGATTTTTACACCCAAATTTGCATGCGGGGGAGGGATTATTTTTTTGTAAGCATAAAATATAATTAAAAATTAACTCAATAATTAAAAATTAAATTCTTTTATGGTAACATTGCAAATTAAGCCGCTTTCTCTAGTTTTTAGCACCCAAAAAATTTGCGGGAGGACCCCTGAAAAACCAAGGACGAAAATTGGCATGCAACATGTAAATACCAGAAAACCAGATTTTGAAAGACTTTCCACTATACTTCGCCAACCACCCCGGGTGGTACCACCCCTAGGGGTGGTTGGAGGGTGGGGCTGGGGATGGTTGGGGGGTGGTCGTGGGGGGTGGTTGGGGGGTGGTCAAGGGGAGGTGGCTGGGGGGTGGTTGAGGGGTGGTTGGGGGTGGTCAAGGGAGGTGGCTGGGGGTGGTTGGGGGGTGGTTGGGGGGTGGTCAATGCATTAGCCACCCCACCCCACCTCTTACAAAATTTTTTCATGATCTGGCAATAAACTTTTCGGTCTTCCGGCGACATTGTCTTTGAGGGACCTTATCTGACTCGAACAAGCTTTTATTGCCAGACCATGAAAAAATTTTGTAAGGGGGTGGGGGGTGGCATTGACCACCCCAACCACCCAGCCACCCCCAGCCAGCCCATTGACCACCCCCCAACCACCCCCCACGACCACCCCCCAGCCACCCCCAGCCCCACCCTCCAACCACCCCTGGGGGTGGTACCACCCGGGGTGGTTGGCGAAGTATACTTTCCACCCCTTTCGAGCAAAACCAGCCGCCACCAAGCCATTTCCTGTCGCCGTTTTCGCCTGTGTGCCTCGAAAATGTCCAGAAAATCCGGGAAATGGCCTTTATTGAGTCTGGGGGGAACCCGCAAAAATAAATGGACACACAAACTTATGGTAATGGGGGCGGAATTTATGGGGTCGAGGCAGTCCTGCGGATGTATAAATTGGGATAGGCTTCGGCTTAGCTTAGATTTAGCAAAGATTTAGCTTAGACCTAGCTCAGGCTTAGGCTTAAGCTTGGGCTTAGCCTTGGTTCAGCTTAGACCTAGCTCAGGTTATGCTTAGGCTTACCTTAGGTTTAGCCTAGACCTAGCTCAAGCTTGGCTTAAGCTTAGGCCTAGGCTCAGACATAAGCTTAGGCTAGGCTTAGGCTTAGGTCAGGCGTGCGCTTAGGCTTAGCTTAGGTTTAGCATTGATTTAGCTTAGATCTAGCTCAGGCTTAGGCTTATGTTTAGGCTTAGCTTAGGTTTAGCTTAGACCTAGCTCGGGCCTGGGCTTAAGCTAGGCTTAGCTTTAGCTTAGGCCTAAGCTTAGGCTTAAGCTTAGTCTTAGACTTCGCTTCGCTTCGTCAGCCGTTTTTGGCCAAAGTTAAAAAAAAACCGCAGGACTCCTCTTGACACATCAAAATATATGTTTCGTGTAGTATAAATCAGATATGTACATGCTTGGGGGGCTTTGGGGAGGGCATGCAAAAAATAGCATTAGGCAGGCAAGGCAAAAGGTGACACTAAGCAAACCATTAATACTGTTAGTAAAACTAGAAAAATCCGGGAAACGCCGCAAAAAAATCCCGAAAAACCGCATGCAGCCTTACCGGAATATATAACTGTATGCATAGCTTTGAAGGGGTTTTTAGGGAGATTCCAAGTCGGGGATGACGGCATCTGGAAGGGCTGGCCGTCTCGCGACAACAACGAAAAACAACAAAACACAATGAGACAACACCGGTTGACGCGGATTTTGTGTGCAAATCTCTTGGGGGCGGGAGAGAGTTTGAGCGGCGAAAGATAGAAGGATAATTGAAGAAGAGAGACCGACACCAAATTGTTAGTAAGAGAATTTCAAAATAAAATTCTGCAAATTCTCCAAAAAAATATGCATAGTTTGACTGATAATCGTCATTGAAGGGACCTGGATGAGAAGGAAAAATCGGCCAAAAAAGCCTTCAAAAATCGTTTCAATCTTGCCTTCCACGTCCCTTTAGAAAACTTAACAATAAACTAATAATCATTACATTGAGAAACGCCAGAAAAATAATGGGAATTTTTTAGCCTTTTTTGAGCAATGGCTCCCTACATTGTGATGATGATCCCGGGGAGCCGACGGAGGTGCTCGGCGAATTCCGCATATCGTCGAGTGTTGCGTAGTCTGGAATGAATATGTAATACATTATGTGATAACTTTTATTTTGTTAGGCTGACGCCAAGCCTAGGACTAAACCTAAGCTCAGCGATTCTAAGTCTCAGCCTAAGCTTAAAACTAACAAGGAGTGTCCTTTTGGTGTCATCGGCAAAACGATTCGAGACCCAGCTCATTCGATAGAGAATTGAATTCTGAACAAGACTGTGTTGTTCATTTTTGCGGAATGGCTGTCCCTGATTTTATAAAATTAAAAAACTGCCGGCGACGCCCATACATTGGTGCTTGGGAAGCAATTTGTTAAGGTTTCGCGCTTGGTTTTTTAATTATATAAAATCAGGGACAGCCATTCCGCAAAAATGATCAACACAGCCTTGTTCAGAATTCAATTCTCTATCGAATGAGCTGGGTCTCGAATCGTTTTGCCGATGACACCAAAAGGACACTCCTTGTAAGCCTAAGAAACCGCAGCTAAGCCTAAGCCCAAGCCTAGGGTTAAGCCTAACCTAAGCCTAGGCTTAAGACTAACCTTAGGCGTAAGCCTAACCTATGCCGAAGCCTCAGCCTAACCTAAGCCTAGGCCTCACCTAAATCGAAGCCTAAGCCTCAACCTAAGCCCAAGCCTATGCCTCAGCTTACAAGGAGATGGTCTCAACTGGGAATCGAATTCGGATTTGAAAATTTGCACACTTATAGAGCTCGACGAGACAAATCGATTGGTGTAACTTTCAGCTGCTGATACAATAACCGCGCCGAGTTATAAGCATTTTAAGTTTTTGCATACATTTTGCGTTTTTTCGGCCATAGCTTCATAGGCCTTCCCCGCCTCCCCATCACCATGGTCTGGTGGCCTAGTGGTGTAGTAGGCGGCTTCCGGGGAATCTAACGATGGTTCGAACCCGCTCACGATTTTTATTTTTTGCTTTTTGGTCCGATGGTTCCTCTTTGCTTTCTGAAGACCTTGAATAGATTTTTACGCATTATTTTAACTCCTCTGGTGCGAAATGGCTAAAAAACATCTCTGAAAAAAATTTAGATTTTTTACCCGAAAGGACTATGCCGGTCCCAAAATAAATTGAAAATTCAAAGCATATCAAAAATCGTGGAGTAAACGTAATTTTGGTAAATAGTGTGTTATCCGAACAAAAACTTTCATCCGCGAAAATTTTTTGGAAATGGTAGTCATAGGTCGGACAAGGGCTCGACGCCCAGCAAGAAAAATTTTTGCGGTGAAGTTCGATGTTGTCGGCGCATCAAAGGAGTTAAAATAATGCGTAAAAATCTATTCAAGGTCTTCAGAAAGCAAAGAGGAACCATCGGACAAAAAAGCAAAAAATAAAAATCGTGAGCGGGTTCGAACCATCGTTAGATTCCCCGGAGGCCGCCTACTACACCACTAGGCCACCAGACCATGGTGATGGGGAGGCGGGGAAGGCCTATGAAGCTATGGCCGAAAAAACGCAAAATGTATGCAAAAACTTAAAATGCTTATAACTCGGCGCGGTTATTGTATCAGCAGCTGAAAGTTACACCAATCGATTTGTCTCGTCGAGCTCTATAAGTGTGCAAATTTTCAAATCCGAATTCGATTCCCAGTTGAGACCATCTCCTTGTTAGCCTAAGCCTAAACCTTAGCCAAACCCTAAACCCATGCCCAATCCTAAAAATACGCCTAAGCCTAAGCCTAAGCCTAAGCCCAAGCCAAGCCTATTACACCTCCAATCTTACCATTGCCCTTCTTTCCGCGAATATTACGTCCCTTGAGCTGCTCGATCTCGTCCTTCTCCTCGACCTCGGTCATCACGTGGTTGTGCTGGCTGAAATGAGTGATTTAAAGGGAGACGGACCTGAAGAAATCTTATCCTCACTCTCCAACGCTCGAATTTCGCTTCAATAGCCCTTTAAACTCCCAAACCTTAGGTCTCGATCGAAAGCGCCGGTGTTCGAGTAGAGCGGGTTGTTGAACTCGTTGGCGTCTTTGTCCTCGGTGTTGTAGTATCTGAAGAGAGTGGATAGAAGCATTAATGAAAGTTTTTGTATGTACGCAACGCTATGCACTGACGACTCTTGAAAATGCGCATAAAACGTACACAACATTCGGCAGCTCGGGCACCTTCTCCTTCTTATACTTCCGGCGGTAGTGGAACAGCCCGCAGAAGAACACGACCCCAATGATGATGGCGATGATGGCCATCAACCACAGCCAGAACGAGGGACCCCGGCCGACGTTTCCCATTTTCAGGTAGGCTTCCACTGCAAAAAAAATAATTTTTGGGTTTGGATTTGTTTGAAAGGGCCTGGAAAGGTTTGCTATGGATTCGCTCCGTTACAAAACACGCAACGCACAAAATATTTTCATCGCGTAATGTATTACGGCCAGTTCACGGTGGTAATGTGACGAGGGTTTGGCGGGTCAGGGCAAAACTTTACAAAACCCAAAAGCACAGCCTTTTTTTAGAATTATCGTTTCGGCTTTTACTTTAATATTATTTAAATTTAAGCAAGGCTTATTGATCAAAACAATTTTAATTAATTAATGGAATCTAATTTAATTTTTTTATTCAATTTCAACGTTTTTGTTTTATTGAAAACTAGGCCTCTTTAATGATAACCTAAAGTGTTCTAATTTTAAGGCATGAGATACTCTGCGATTATTTTAAAGCCTGCATCAAAATTTTAAGTTTAACCCACTGGCTTTCCCGCATTGAATATCATCGGGATGGCAGCATCCGATAGCCGCATCACATCGCTCCTCCTCCCCGGGGCATTTCCCGCACTCCTTCGCGCATTTCAGCCCGAATCGACCCTCCGGGCACACTAATAGTACGCAAAAGATTGATAGACCCGGAAGCACTCACAATTATGGCAGAACTCGCCCTCGAAACCCGGGTGGCATTGGCAGGAGCCGGTGAAGCGGTTGCACGTCGCTGTGCTGATCCCCTGAAATCGGTGTAGTTTGGAGCGTAGTGTGGCTTAAGAGCAGTTTACCCCCCTCCCCCGGCCGTCCCCCACCAACCGTATCTCGGCTCCCTGCTCATCTACAGGTGTGTAAAGTGTAGCAAAATACTCGCCAGAGCAAGACGAACATTTTGGAATACTTTACACACCTGTAGATGAACAGGGAGCCGAGATACAAAAGTTGGGTGCCGGCTGGGGGGGGGGGTAAACTGCACTCTAACCCGTAGTCTAGCGTGAAAGGGATAGTGTCACCTAAGCTCGTTATAACGAACCTGACACTTGCAATGCTGGATACAGTCGGGCCCAAAGAAGCCGGGCTCACAAGGTTGAGAGCATTGATCACCCTGAGTACCGGATGGGCACGCGCATTCCCCGGTTTCCGGGTGGCACTGCTTGAATTCCGAGGCACACGAGCAGCTCTTCTCACATCCAAGGCCCCAGAAGCCTGGCTGGCACTCTGAAAAGCGGTGAAATGAAAAACGACACCTCAGTTATGTAGGTTTGTCGGTTCTTTCGTCTTATCGGGGGGGTCGCAATTTATTCTAGGAGTCCAAGATGTCTAATAACGTAATAGCAAGTGTTTTAATACGGTTTCTAGCCAAATTTAACCCTATTTTAAGTGGAAAAACAATAAAAAACTTAGAAAACATTTTTCGTTGAAATTTTGGTCGAAAATTTGACATTTTTGTTCGGAAAATATTTATTTTTTGTATTTTCATCAAAATCATCATTATTCTTTTCTCATCAAAATTTTAAAATGGAAAAAACAGTTTATAAACCTTTTATCTGTTTACATTAGGAAAAACGATCCCTTAAAAAAGCTTACTTCCCCCCGATAATGCAAAAGAACCTAGTAGTTTACCCCTCCCTTTAAAGTTGAACTAAACAGGGTATCATTAACGCGATAAACGTACGCCTCTCGCAAGTCCTGCCCTGCCAGCCTGGCCTGCATAGACACAGCCCGGTCTCGCCATCACAAACACCTCCATTCGCACATCGGGGGCATGTAGATGAACAACCCACACCCCAGGTTCCAGCGTCGCATTCTAAAATGCGACCGAATCAGGTACGGCATGTTTCTGCTCGATGTCCTTTTGGCCACAGATCTCCCATGGGACCGCGCCACGCAACGCGCCCGCCGACGCAAAGGTCTGTCCGATTACGCAATGGAAAGGCGGGCGCGTCACGTGTGACCGGATTGGCAAAATCCATACGAAAACCGGCCTTGCCCGTCCCTTTAACTTTATGAGAGACTCACTTTTTTCGCAGCTCTCGCCGACCCTTCCTGGCGGGCAGTGGCATTTCCCAGTGGCCGGGTCGCATTCCCCGGCATCACACGAGCATTTCTAAACCGGCTTTAAAAAACGGAATTTAATAAAAAAATGTCCATAAAATTGTTTTAGCTTCGAGCTCTTTGGTAAGTCTCCAGATCCCCCCAGCCGGCCCCTGAACTTTTGTATCTCGGCTCCCTGTTTATCTACAGGTGTGTAAGGTATACCAAAATGTTCGCCTTGCTTTGGTGAGTATTTTGGTGTACTTTACACATCTGTAGATGAACAGGGAGCCGAGATACGGTAGGTGGGGTTCGGCTGGGGGGGGGGGGTTATCTGGAGTTCAGCCAGCTCTTTAGCTGATGCTAATTTCCTAATCAGACGCCCGATACCTCGACACAATCCTTTCCATAGGTCCCCGCCGGGCAGTTTTCCTCGCAGAAGTGGCCGTACTTTCCGAGCGGACATCTGAGAAACACAATCAGGATTAGGACTCTTCTTAAAACCCACGATTTGCATTTTCCGTTCCGGCCATCGCAGGTGGGTCCCTCTTCTCCGTTTTGGGCACAATTCGGGCACTCGAAGTCACAATCGAGGCCGAAATGGCCGGAAGGGCAGGCTGGAATGACAGACTTAGGTTTGGGCTTTGGGCTTAGGCTTAGGCTTGCGCTAAGCGTAGGTTAGGTTTTGCTTAGACCTAGGCTTAGGCTCAGGCTTACCTAGGCTCATGCTTATGCTTATGCTTAGGTTTAGGCTCAGGTTTAGGTTTAGGTTAGGCTTAGTTAGGCTTAGGCTTAGGCCTAGGCTTATCAACAGACCTTCTTCGCATCGTCGCCCTCTCTTCCCAGGTGGACACGAGCACTGTCCAGTCTCCTGATTGCAGAAGTAATCCCCACAATCACACTCCCGTTTGCACGCCTGCCCGAAAAGACCTTGAGGGCATTGCGTGGAGCAGTCCTCGCCTAAATATCGCTTTTTAAAGGGTCATTGAAGGCAAAAAAATCTAGCAAAAACTACGGACCCTTAAAATCCGCCGTACATGTGCAGACGCCACTATCGGCCGCCACAGTAGCCCCGCGTTTTGTCGGTTTTCCAGGCACCTGAAGGATTTGGGGGGATTAAAGGGGTGGGACACCTCACCTTGCAAGCACTCTTGTGCCGACAGTCCATTCCAAACCACCCCTCCGGACAGGGCAACTGGCATTTGTTGTCGTCGGAAAGGTGGAAGCCGGCCTGGCAGAGACATGTCCCATTCTGGGCTGAACATCCGCGCCCATTTCCGCCACACTCGCAAGCCTTGCACCCGGCACCGGAAGTGCCGGCCGGGCATCCGAATTCGCACTCGGGGCCTTGGAAACCTGAAAATTAGAGTGTAAACGCGTAAATTCGTGCTATCCTGGTTCTCATGAATGCGTCGACAAATTCACCATTGTTGGAAAATGACAAAATGCCCTTCCATTACGTAACCGATTAGGATCACTTGATGGTGTCAAAACGGCTTGCACGTTGCGTGTTTCAAGCAGTATTCAGGCAATTTCCCTCCTTTGCGGCGTGGGGCACCCCTCACCCCCTCGCCAGGTTGTAGCTGTGGCTGACTGGTATCCATCCACCCGAGTGGGGGGCCCGGGTTCGACCCCCGGCCGCGGCAGAAATCTTTGCTTTTTTCCAAAAAAACGTCCCTGAACGTGCCCTTTAAAGGGGGTCATGAAGGCAAGGTCCACCCTCGCTACTTCCTGATACCTTTAACGGTTCCCCGCAAACCGACCTTCCTCGCAGATGCATTTTCCGTTGACCGGATTGCACTGGCCATGCTTGCACTGGCAATCGAAGGCGCAGTCAAGTCCGAATTTTCCCGGAGGGCACCTCTTCTTGCAGCTAAAATAGAGCTTACTATGATTGCACATAACGCTTTTAAGGACTCTTGGATACAAGCAACTTACTCGGTGCCATAATATCCGGGCAAACAAACGCATGCCCCTTTATCTGGGAACATTCCGAGGCGAAGGCAAAGTCGCAAGTACAATTCCGGCCGCAATCCACACCCCAGCGCATCTTGTCGCAACGCTTTTCGCAGGAATCACCGGTCCAGCCGGCTTTGCATCGGCAATCGCCGGTATCGGGCGTACACCTGGAAATACAGGGGGTGCAGGGTGTTGTGTAACGGAAATTTTTGATCTTTGCAGGGCAAACTTGCTGCTTCTCCCTTTAAGGATCGAAAATCGCAATGAAAAAAAGTTTCTGGGTTTTAGGAAATGACCGGGAACTTTTCTATTATCGGGGGGGGGGGATCGATAGAAGATTAGGTTAGGACGATAGATTAATTATGGTTCTAGTAGAATTATTTGTGGATATATAAAGCTAAAAAAACAGAAAACTAAAGGTTTTTATTTTTCACCGAAAATTGGCGGTTTTGATCTATATTTCTAAATCTATATTTTTTTTATAATGTGCTTGTTCTCGAAGCTCAGACGTGGCAGGCTAGCAAAGATCTTTTTGGAATCTATGACAAAATAGCATAAACCTTGTGTAAATCTCCAGAACTCACGTCTCCGTGTTATCCATCAAACAGGTACATTGCTGGTCGCACTTCTGACCCCACATATCCTCCGGGCAAGCTGGAAAACACAAAACTACGCAATGCTCCACCGTACACACCTCTGAATTGACAATCGGCCCCGGCGAAGCCTTTTTCACATAGGCAGGTACCGGTGATCGCGTCGCATGCGGCCTTCGAATCGGGACGGTCGATGCCCGCGCATTGACACTTTTCCGAGCACTGAAAGGATATTATTCTTGTAAAGATTTATTGCTTGTTGTATTAATGAATGTATATGTTGGCAAACGTATCTTGTCGCTATACCCCTTTTTGTCTCGAAAAACTCACGTCGCGCCCGAAAAATCCTCTTGGACATCCCGTTTCGCATTGTGTTCCCTTCCAGCCGATGCAAATGCATCTAAATAAATAATTAATTGTATTTAGAATAAAAAAGTGGATAAATTAGTATGGACAAGCGAAGTCGCTGGAATCCACCGCAAAACCTGAACCTAAGCCTAGAGCTAAGCACAGGCCTAAGCCTCGAATCCTAACCTAAGCCTGAGTCTAAGCCTAGACCTAAGCCAAGCCTGAGCCTAGACCTAAGCCTCGGCCTAAGCCTAAGTCTAAGCCTAGACCTAAGCCAAGCCTAAGCCTAGACCTAAGCCAAACTGAACTACTCACTTTCCAGTCTTCGCGTCGCAGTTGTTATTGTTCAGACAGCTGCACTTTTTCTCGCAATTTGGCCCGAATGTCCCGTCAGGGCAAGCCTCCTCACACACGGGGCCCTAGAAATATACGGTATTCTAAAGTGAAACCACAAACTAAAAATTGCCAACCCTACTACAAACTATATCCCACCTTGAAGCCCGGCGCACAGAGGCATTTCCCATTCTCACGGTCGCAGGTGGCCCCATTCTGGCAGTTGCACGAGAATTGGCAATCCTCCCCGAACATTCCCTTCAATGGATATTTAAAATTGATGTAACTAGGTGTACCTCGGAACATTGCTGTAGACAGTACTTTCCACCGTATCCCTTTGGGCATTTGCATTCCCCGGTTGTCGCGTCGCATCTGTAAGTGGATTTTTAAAGCAGCCAGGTTATGTCGTTGCGCCTAATTTAAGCCTAAGCAGAGTCTAAGCTAAGCCTAAGCCAAGCATAGGCTAAGCATGAGCTAAGCATAAGCTAAGCCCAGCCTAATCTGAAGCTAAACCGCAGCTCGGCCCAAGCCCAAGCCTAAGCCCAAGCTAAGCCTAAGCCTAAGCTAAGCCCAAGCTAAGCCTAAGCCTAAGCTAAGCCCAAGCTAAGCCTAAGCCTAAGCTAAGCCCAAGCTAAGCCTAAACCTAAGCTAAGCCCAAGCTGAGCCTAAGCCTAAGCTAAGCCCAAGCTAAGCCTAAGCTAAGACCAAGCTAAGCCTAAGCCTAACCATAAATTTCACCCACTTTCCGCCATTCTGGCAGATGCACTTCTCCTTGCATCCGACACCCCATTCCTTCTCCGGGTCGCAGACCTCACCGCACTTTTCGCCCTTCCACCCTAAATCAAATGTTTAAAGAAGGCGTTTTGTGTTAAAGAGAGCGTTTCAAGCTAAAACTATTTATTTTGACCCACCAACAGTACAGGCGCAGACTCCGGACTCCGGGTCGCAACTCGCTCCGTTCTCACATCCGCACTCATTTCGGCAGGACGGGCCCCATTTGCCGAAGGAGCATGCTGGAAATGGATTTTGATAGGCTTTTGGGGAGATCTGAACCGATTACGTTATGAAAATCTATGCACAAAAGTTCCCCGTCATCTTAAAGCCGAATCCTGCCATTTTCTGGGTGGGTTTAACCGATTAAGGTATGGAATTTCCGGAAAATCCAAGCGGCTTTGGAGTTCGACATGTGCTTAGCGGATTACGCCATTAAAATAGGTCTAAATAAAACTAGTTTCATATCGTAAAAATCAAATTCTCCTGAGTTTCACCGATTACGCTATGAAACTCAGAAAAACCCCTTATTATTCTCCATGAAACCCAAATTGGGGTCAATTCTAAAATTAACCCTATCGATTACGACAGAAAAATCGGCCGAAAAATACGCTTAACCGATTACGACATAAAAATCAGTCATAAAAGACAAATTTGCCTTAAAAACTTACTCGAAGCACACGTCTTCCCCCCATACCCAGCGTCGCACTCGCAAACGTTCGGCTCGACGCAACGGCCCTTCTTGCAGGCCGGGTTACAGTCGGCTGAAAGGTTGCCGAGTCCTTTAAAAGATGCTGGAGACACGTACGTTTGCATATTCTGTCCTTTGTCTCGTAGTACCCCTCGCAGCACTCACGCACGTACTTTTCAATCTTCTTCAACCGTCGCTCGTAGGTGACCTTGTTGCCGGTCCTGTAAAAGATCAGAATGTTACCGTTTCCTCAAGGATCTTTGCAGGTTTGCCTGATTCTTCATGTATGTCTATTATACTGCCCCGACTTCCGCCTCCTAAATGCTTTCTGCTAGCTTACCCCGATTCCACAAGGCTACCTGCAGCCTACCCGACTCCCCAAGGGTCTCTGCTAGCATGCCGGGCACAAAGATCTCGGCTAGTCCTCCCTGATTCGTTAGATAACTCTGCTATGCGACTCCATTCCCTAAGAACGTCTGCAAGTTTACCCGATCCCCAATGTTCTCTGCTAGCTTACTCGAGTCCCAAATGGTCTCTGCTCGATTATCCATGATTCTCCTCAAGCATCTTTGCTAGGCTGTCTCGATTTCCCAGGCGGTCTGCGCCTGATTCCCCAATAATCTCTGCTCGCTTAACCTTGATTTTTCTAAGCATCGCTGCTGGGCTGCCTCGATTCCCCAAGGATCCCGGCTATCTGCTGTTAACCTACTCCGAAGCACAGACATCTGCAAGCTGGGCCTGATTCCCTAAGGATCTCTGCTAGCCTATCTAGCTCCCCCATGAAATTTTTGCAAGCTCAAAAAACTTACTTGACAGTTTTACAGCTAAATCCCTGCGTAATATCGGCACACGTCTCGTAATCGACGAGCGTCGTCGGCCGGACGACTTTCTGGATCTCATAGGAATCGACTCTGGAAAAAAATAAGGTCGGCTAGGGTTTAGGTTTAGGCTTCGCTTAAGCTTAGGCTTAAGCAGGTTATTGCTTAGTCTTAGGAATAAGCTTAGAAAACTTACAATTTTGGTACTGTGCACACATGCTCTCCGATTGGACCCGTGTCTTCTGAAGTTACTCGATAAATTAAGGAGAAGAGAAGGAACGGAATCGCAGAATTGAGGCTCTTCCATCGCATTGCCTGAAAAATTATATAATTTAACTTTTAAAAAAGCAGTAAACGATCAAATAAATAAGATAGCAAAAAAGTCGATTTTAACGACAAATCGGACCTTAAAAATTGTTTGCGTATTTTGGCCAAAATCCCCCGATCAATGTCCGGCTTTTCAAAATTAATGCTACCCAGTCGGAATTCATAAAAATAAATGAGATTCATAGGGAACATGGAACGGCATGGGAGAATAAATTGAAAAGCTCAAAATAGAAGCAGAAACGTATGAGTCACTGGGATCTGTACGCGACACAACATAATGACAGTCCTCCCACTATGATGATGAATTGCATAGTGAATGGTAATCTGTATTATTCACGTATTCGGGAGAAAATCTCTCTCTCTCCCTCTCTCTCTCTTTCTCGCTCTCTCTCTCTCACCCAAATTGCCCCCTAGGCAACATCATGAAACTTAAAAAACTGCCCACAGCTGTGACCAAAATAATCTGTTTGGGTGCGGTAAGCGGTATTTCCCAAAGGAGAGGAAAGAGAGTGAGAGAGAGCCCGCACGAAAGAAAGAGAAAGAATGAAGGTCACTGTTCCGACAGATCCTCCCCGGCCCTGTGACGGCCTGGATGGGTCATCCAGGTATGCAAGGGAGTTTTTTCTGGCTCTTTCTTTCTCTCTCTCTCTCTCTCTCTCTCTCTCTCTCTCTCTCTCTCTTTCTCTAGCAACCCACTTCATTCCACTCCATTACTAATTCCGCTACGGATCCACTTATCTCAGAGATGGTGACCGCCCCAAACATGTTAGGGGCCTAACAACGATATCTCGCTTGCGCGCTCTCTCTCTCTCTCTCTCTCTCTCGCTCTCCCTTTCACTCGCTCTCTCTCTTTTTCTGTCTCTCACCCTAAAGCTATCCTACCAACAAAAATATCAGAAATAGACACGAAGGTAGCCAAAAACTGAAAGTGATGCGCGTCCAAAGACCTGCGAAAACTAAGCCCGTCGGCAAATAGGGCAAAAGCTAGGCAAAAGGCAACGGAGATGAGTCACTGGCCTTTTAAAGGGGCGAGTTATTTTAGAGGAAACCAGGGTTGAAAAACCGCTTCGCGGCTTTTCAACCCTGGCCCCGTCCAGGACCTGTGAAAGTCCTTAATTTGCATGTTTCTTCCTGAATTCTAGCAAGAAAAAAGTGAAAAACGGCTCCTCTGTCCCTTTATATAGGCTCTTCCTACTTCCGGAGCATGCTAATTTCCCCTAACAAACAGGGTTTTACAAAAACCTATTTTTAATAGCGAAAGCCGCACATTTTCAAAATTTTTATGTGTGTGCAGTCGATTCCAGCCCCTTCTTTACCCTATGACGTTTCTTCCCTACCGAAAAAATGCTTCCCTGAGGCTGTAGGTGCGGAACATCCAAACGGAAGTGCATGCAAATATACACACACACACACACACACAAACACTATTTTTTTATATATAGTAGGATGAGAGAGCGAGTGCCGTTGCGAGAATCAGAGATATACGGGCACGGGCCGATGATTCGTCTAGACGCTCGTAATGTCGAGATTGTTTTTAGGACTGAAAAGATCAGAGAGAGATAGAGAGAGAAGGAGAGAGAGAGAGCGAGTGAGAGAGAGAAAGAAAGAGAGCAAGAGAGAGTGAGAGAGAAAGAGAGGAAGAGAGTTTGCGAGACAAAAATAAAGGAGAAAACATTTCATGTTGTAAATTCCTACTTTAAAAAATAATTATATGTTTAGGGATCAAATTCCCAAGCCCTAAACACGCTGACCCAAATATGAGCCATAAATTGGGTGCGAACGGGTTGTTAGGCGGCCCGATAATTGCGTAATGTCTTGGCGGGATGGCCCAATTTGTTAATAAGCGATTTGGTATGAATCTTTTTAGTATATTGTAAATTAAACAATTTTAGTAGAGGGAAGAGATGTGTAATTGCGCGCAAAATGCGCGGGAGACAAAAAATAGGTCGGAAAAACGGGTAGACAAAAAGGCGGTACTAATGATCGGGGATCCTTATCGCCCCGTATCTAGCGACGACGTGCCTTCGGGGTATCTTCGGGGGTATGAAGAGGGAGAGAGAGAGAGAAAGAGAGAGAGAAACGTCTATACCCTTGTATACTTCGTACAACCGATTACGCTATGAAATTCTAAAGCGAAAAACGGAAGTGATAGACGATACGGATAGGCGGAACCTAGAAAAGGAGATGTTCCCCTATTTGCCTATATGTTTGTGTTGTTCTCTCTCTCTCTCGCTCGCTCGCTCGCTCTCTCTCTCCTTCTCTCTCGCTCTCTCTCTCTCACTGACCATTCTGGCACCTTGACAAACAGCCCAAAGAAAGGAAGAACTGGCCCCGAATCGATGACGCCACGATATTATCGATACATCTATGCAGCGGGGCCAATAAAAGGCTTGCCGACTGCAAACAGTACGAGATGATACAAAGAACGGTTGGTGTACGTTGGAATAATGCGGAAATACTATGCAATATTGGGTAGCTAGCAGGGATTCTTTAAATGGGGGAGAAATGTAGTAAAGCTATAGCAACGTAGCAGGAATCCTTTGCCAAGAAATCATAGAAAATTTTAAAAATTAGGTAGGTCAGCTAGCATGATCCTTTGCGAGGAGCAAAAAATGTAAAAACAGCTGGGACGGCTAGCAGAGATCCTTTGAGAAAAACACAATGTAAATGGTCAAGCGCAACATGGCCGTCCAGCAGAGACTCTTTGCGGAAAACAAGGTTTCCAAAAAAATTCTAGCAAGGTTCACGGAGATTTCCTACCAAGCCACCCAATTCTACCCGTTTTATGCCCTAGAAATCGCGGCATTTTGAAATTCCGCCACCACACTCGTGACCCCCAGGTTGTCAATGTGGATTAGCGCGCCCAGTAACCACTGAAATAGTCAAAGAAACTACTCAAAAAATACGGGCGATTGTTTCAGGGCCCCGCGCACAGTTCGTGTCGACCATTCATGAGTCAGAACCCTATGCTTCCCTGGGGCTCTCCTCCCTCGCTCTTATCTCTATCCCGACCTGGGGGACCCATTTCATTGTGAATGTTGACGGAAGGGTCCTCTACTCACACACAGACACACGAGGGGAGGGACAGTCTCGGCGGAAAAACACGGAAAACGGCGTGTTTTTATTTTTATCTCTAGACTCTCCTCTATGCCTCGCTCTCTCTCTCTCTCTCTCTCTCTCTCTCTCTCTCTCTCCTATTCCGAATCCGGTTGCGCCTTACAAAGCGACCTTGCGGCGGCCCTCCTTGACTCAACCCGCCCTTCGAACATCTAGACGCGATTTTCGAGCATTAACAGGATGGACATAATTTGTACCCCTACGGAAATGATAGCCCCGATGAGTCAGCGATAAGATTAGAATTATTTCGTGTGCCGAAATATCTAGGAAAAGAGTGGATATCGAGAACCATAAAAGTTTGGTAGGACTGCAGACTCCCAGCCGGCGCCACCTTTTGTATTGCAGCTCTCTCTCTCTCTCTCTCTCTCTCTCTCTCTCTCTCTCTCTCTCTCGCTTTCTAGCTCTCTCTCTAGCTCTCTCTTTCAATCTCACTCACTCTCACTCACTGTCGCTCGCACTCTCTCACTCCCTCGCTCGCTCTCTCTCCCTTCTTGTCCTACAGCGTTTCAAAAAATAGCAAAATGTTCGTCTTGTTCTGGCGAGTATTTTGGTATACATTACACGGCTGTAGGATAACGGGGAGCCGAGATACAGTAGGTCAGGGGCCCGGCTGGCGTTGGGCTCCACAATCTAGCCAAAAATTTTTGTAGCTTGCTGGGACTTTAAGAACATAGGGTAAACAAGGTTATAGAGCTATGGAAGCCTTAAAATAATTTAAAGCAACCGTGAGCAATTCTAACGCCAAAAATGTCAGGGGAAACGTTGAAATAGCGTGCGAAAAGCCCTGACCAGCTAGCCTAAGGAATGGCAGCTGATTTGGAGGGCAGAGACGACTGGCGGGTAAACAACTTAGGCGAGAGAGGGAGAGAGAGCGAGAGAGAGAGAGAGGGAGAGAGAGAGAGAGAGACAGCCAGCTGTTTGGAAAGCTCTAAGCTCGAGAACCCTTGGGGCAGCGGAAATAAAATGGCGTAAGCAATTCGGAAAAAACATGTTCTCTCATTAAATTGCATAATTTTGAAGGAATTTAAGATCATTTGGTATAGAGAAGCTAAAGCTTTCTAGATGCAAATTCGTGGCGAAACTCGATGAAATTTGCTAGCGGCTTTCCGTGGGGACCGGGGGGCTTTCAGGGGGCTGCGGATCCGCTGAAAATAGGGGATGGGCGGAGTGTGGGGAAGAGGGGGAGTAGTGGTCAGTGACGAGAGAGAGAGCTAGAGAGAGAGAGAGAGAGAGAGAGAGAGAAATGCTTCTCGTTCTCTGGGTTCACCGGTGGGAAGCGTGCCCCCTTTTGCTGACCCTTTCCCTCCCCCGGGCTACTCGAGTCCGGTACCATTTTTGGTGGGACTACGCGAAGGTGTATTTGAACGGAATTTGAGCCATAGACATTATTGGACGGTATTTTAATCTTTTCCGCAATTTTAAAGGAACAGTGAAGAAAAAAACTAGATAAACATAAAAAAAACAATTTTTTGAAGCTTTTTCAATTCCCAGGCACCCCTCGTTAGTGACGAAACGAGCTCGCCAATTTTTAATCCGATTTAAATTGAAAAACCGGATTCCAATTTGCAATATCGGCAGAAAAACAGATGTTTGTCAGTTGTGTCTGCCTGTCTGTCTGTCTGTTTGCGTGTCGTTTTTAGGGCGAACCGGGTGCTGGGTGGAAATTGATTTTCCGAGCACTGATGCATGGGGCGGAATCAGCAGGTTCCAGGGTGGGTGAATCATACTTAAATGACGGCTGTTCCGGATCGAGAAATCGCCTCGAAAAGCAGGCAGGCTAGCAGGAATTATTAAGGAATCCTTGATAATCAATAAGCTAGGCAAATCTGGAGCTTCATAATGTATCATAAAGTCTCACTTTACGCAAA